ACTGTTTGGTATAATTTCCGTACGCCCCTGCAAAAGACTGATTAAGGAAAATACGTCGGTAATTTCTGAAAATTTTGTGCCTACTATATTGGAATTATAGTAGGTATAGTAAAAAATATACAGACTGAAAAATAATTTTTTTTTAGATTTTACAACTTTAGTCATATCACAAAGCATTTGATGTAACTCATTCAGTTCTGAATTGAACCATGGTTTCTCTTTTCTATTCAATTTGTGTCAAAGGAAGAGAATAATTCCAATGAAATTTAAATTTAGCAATAAAAAAGTGTGATATGCGGAAAACAATACTTTGCTGACCAAAAAATGTCCTCCTAAATAGGGCCTTCATCATTCGAATAACCCGGTTGTATTGAAAAACATGGATTTTACTTGATATTGATGCCTCCATACATACAAATAGATAGGGTATAACTATTTTGCAGGTCTGCAGGTCAGCAAATTGTTCTCAGTAGACCTTGCTCTCGTAATCTTGTAGGAGGACAAAAATTTTTGCATGTCGGGTCTGCCAGACATGAATCTCGATCAGGTTAATCATTTTCGACAAAAAAATTCAACCCCCACCCTTTGAGTATGGAAAAATTCCACATTCCTCCATTAAATTGAAAATAAACCTTGCAGGTCGGCAGAAATTCTTGCAGGTCGGGTATGCCAAACATGAATCCCCACCAGGTTAATCATATTCAACAAAAAAAAAATTAACCCCCACCCTTTGAGTATGGAAACATTCCACATTCCTCAATAAATTGAAAATAAACCTTGCAGGTCGGCAGAAATTTTTGTAGGTCGGGTATGCCAAACGTGAATCTCGATCAGGTTAATCATTTTCGACAGAAAAATTTTCCAACCCCCACCCCAAAATTTCACAATTCTCAAAAAATTGGAAATAAATTTTGCAGGTCGGGTATGCCAAACATGAATCTCGACCAGGTTAATCATTTACGACAGAAAAACCTTCAACCCCCATCCTTTGAGTATGGATAAATTCCACATTCCTCATTAAATTGAAAATAAACCTTGCAGGTCGGCAGAAATTCTTGCAGGTCGGGTATGCCAAACATGAATCTCGATCAGGTTAATCATTTTCGACAGAAAAATTTTCCAACCCTGAATATCGGAATATTTCAACCAATAGTATTCATTACTGCACCAAAGGTTCCAAACAGTGCATTACAAGTATTTCAACGATATTTTATATCTCTTTGTGAGTTTTATTATTGTTATCAATCAGAAGAGTTGAATCCACCTCTTTCGAAAGGAAGTTTACTCTTGTGATTTTTCATAAAATTCTGCCTACCAAGGCCTTATCGGAATATTTCAAACTCCATTATTTCATATCTATTTATAAGTTTTCATTGTCACCAATGGGAAAAGTTGAGTTAACCATTTCGAATGTTAGTTTTTACACCTGTCATTTTTCATAATTTTCTACTGACCAAGATCTTGCTATCGGATATGTCAACCAAACTCCATAATTTTTAATGAGTAGTTTAATCGTCTGGTTTTTCATGATAGGAAAGTCTTGGACGATAGTCCAAGACTAACCCGTACGGTAAGGTTGCCGCAGAACGGGAAAAGTCTCATCAAAAACCAACTGCTGGAAGAGCTGGACAAAATCATCTTATCTGCATCCAGCAGCAACAGCAAACCGCCCACGTTCAAGTCGTGGACATACTCCGGTGAAATCATTAGAGTGGTCTGCGATGACGACGTGACGCTAGAGTGGCAGCAGAAAGCCACAATAAAAATAAGAGAGTGTGTTCGGCGAGGCTTGGCCTACCCCTGCCGATATAAAGGAGATGTCTCCTAGAGACCTGTCCCCCTTCCTGGAAAGGACAGGATGGACGATTACCTAGGGGGACAACTGAGGGAGAATGTACATGTGGTCTAAGTGATTTGGGCCTACACTCACCCTCCCTACTCTACAGATACTGCCCCCAATGAGAAAAGTTGAATCCACCCCTTTCCCCTTTCGATGGGTGACTTACTATTCTGCAGACCAAGACTTTCCTATCGATATGTTTCAACCATACTTCATAATTTTATATCTCTTAATGATTTTTTATTGCTACAATGAGAAAAGTTGAATCAACTCTTTTTTCATAATACGTATAAAAGCGCATAAAAAATAACCAGTTCGCCATCTCGAGCGGTTGGATTTTGATGAAATTTTTGATAGTAATAAACCAAATGGTGTAGTTAAAAGTTCTAAACTTGAATTGGTGGGATAATTAAATGTCAAATTTTTTCCAAATGTGGTTTATAGGTACCATTGAAACGGTACGCAACTGGGCGAGACTTGAGGGCAATGGTGAATTTTTTGAAAATAAAAATCTTGTGGATGATGTCAATTCAACAAAAATTAATATTTCTCCAGTTGCAAAATTCTACTTTACTTTGCTATGATCACATATATATATACTTCACGGATGTAGGCAGTTGCTGTTGGAAATATAAGTATAATACAAAACTCCCCTTTTCTCATCGGTGGTAATAATAACATAAGAAGGCCTTGGCCAGCAAAATATTTTGAAACATTACAAGAGTAAACTACCTTTCGAAAGGGGTAGATTCAACTTTTCTCATTGGTGGCAAAATCAAAATAATAATGGATATAGGAATATGAACTTTGATCAGAATATTTCGATGGAAAAGCACCTTTCAAAAGGGGTACATTCAACTTTTCTCATTGGTGGCAAAATCAACATAATAATGGATATAGGAATATGAACTTTGATCAGAATATTTCGATGGAAAAGCATTTGTCAAAACATGAAAAATCACTTGAGTAAACTACCCCTCGAATGGGTTGATTGAACTTTTCTTAATGTTAGCAATAATAACATAAAAAGAGAGATGAAGCTGTGAAGATTGGTCGAAACATTCCGATGAGAAAGCCTTGGTCAGCAAAATATTTTGAAAATCACAAGAGGTTAATTCAACTTTTTTCAATGGTGGCCATGATAACAAAAAATATAATGAAAATATGAAGCTTGGTCGAATAACTCCGATGGAAACACCATGATCAGCAAAATATCTTGAAAAATCTCAAAAGTAAAGTACCCTTATTCGAATGAAGTAGAATCCATTTTTTTTTCATTGGTGGCAATAATAAGATGAAAATATGAAGCTTGGTCGAATAATTCCGATGGAAACACCACGATCAGCAAAATATGTTCAAAACTATCAAGAGTAAAGTAGCCTTATTAATTCGAATGAGGTAGAATCCTTTTTTTTTCATTGGTGGCAATAATGAAAATATAAAGCTTGGTCGAATAATTCCGATGGAAATACCATGATCAGCAAAATATGTTGAAAAATCTCAAGAGTAAAGTACCCTTATTCGAATGGAGTAGAATCCATTTTTTTTCATTGGTAGCAATAATAACATGAAAAGAGATGGAAATATGAAGTTTGATCGGAATATTCCGATGGGAAGGCCTTGATCAACAAAATATTGTAAATATCAGAAGAGTAAATACCCTCATATATATGTGGATTTCAATCTCATGTACGGTGGCATTGATTTCAAGTAATATTTTTGAATATGAACGCGTTTTTCGAATTATGAATGTCTCACCTTGGTAGACATATTTAGATCTCTGGTAACATTAGGAGCAATTGAGAATGGTCCTAGAATGTCAATGAGATATCTTGCCAAGTTTTTGGAAAGCCGGAAAATTTCAAATCATTTTTCACCGCTCAATGAAGACTCATCATCTGATAAACGCCGACGATTTGAAATTTTTCGGTTTTCCGATACTTCAGCAGCATTCTCTTTGAAAAATAGAATAATTTCAATTGTTCATTGTGATAGTACAAAATACAACCACAACAGAGTACACAAGAACTGAGCCATTGTCTAAGGATTTAATTTAGACAATGACCGAGATTCAGAAACCTTTGCACAAACATTTGCATCGTTTCTAAAACTGATCTAACTTAACCTTACTTATAACATAACGAAACATATCAGTTGACGAGTACCTATATTGTGCTTGTAAAAAGAGTTAAATGATTCGCTATATTAGGAATTCGTTTAGTAGCGAACACTACAAAGTATGTAGTGGGGAATGTTCCTCCTGACAAAAATCAAGTAGTTTTCATAAAAGAGCTCTAAAACAAAGCATTTTAAACTTATCATTTCAACCTTTTTCTTTAAAAAAACATTTAAATACTTAAAAAAGAGGAATGAAATAATGCCTTCAACATTCAAAGGGATTCGTTTCTATTTCACCATTTGGCATCATCGGTTATAGCTAATAAAGGACAATGAATCTGTTACCTGTATGAGACAAACAAAGATGACATATTTCAGAGGCGTGCTGTTCTGTTTACTTATGTTCCGAGTTCCGAGACATTCTGTGACATATGACATATTGTGCACCTAACCTATCTTCCTCTATATAAATAAATAACAAAAGAACTGTTGTTTATGTGGCTTGTGGTATTGAGCTATAATTTATATTTTGTCCTAATTGTTGATTAATAAAGATAAGTTTCCTTTTTTAAAGTAGAATATCTAGGTACGTATAAATTATTTCAAGTTGATATAGGCGCTGTTGCCAATATGTGAATTAGAAACAAATCCCTTTAAAAATTAAAACCCAACATTTGAAACATCAATTTAAATACTTTTCGAAGTGAATTTGAAAAACTCATGAATTAAACTCAACTTTATTTTGTTCAAACTTACATTTGCTGTAATAACCCAAATTGAGGAACATTCCCGTTATGAGTATATTTGGTGGTTGTTTACCAGTAGACTCACATAAATCTTGTTTTTTTTTTTAATCATCTCATTCTATGTTGTCTGTATACAAGCTGTAACAGTTGGCATATTTTTTAAATGAAGATCATTATTATTGAAAAAAAGTGAATTCCAAAATCCAAAGGGAAGCGTGTGATATAAAATGAGGCTCCTGTCCCAAACATTGGAATATTTTGTGCATTTTTCATTGGCAACACTGAATCAGTGACTCTGAGCAAGTTATTCTATCTATACTTAATCTGTGTCTATTTATACGGTGCTGTTACCAGTTACCATATGTGAAGAGTGTAGAGCTGAATACCTGACGTGAATTTTATTTTTTATTATTTGTTGAAATTAGAATGGGTGGCAGCAAAAATAAATTACCAGAAGGTTGGTTAGATTGTCCTCAAAATGGAAATTATTTGGTTGCTGGAAAGTTTATGCCTCTCAAAACTCCCTTAGATGGAAAGTTCAATAATAAATTACCTTCAGGAGCTAACTATTCTCCTACTGAGTTATTCACCAGAGCAAAGAGAAATAAGGTAATATATCAAACTTGAGAAAGAGAAATGGTCTACTATTGAAGAATTTTTAGGTGAAAATTGGTTTGTGGGTAGATTTGACCAATACATATAGATATTACAATAAAACTGAAATAGAACAAGAACAATGTCAATATGTTAAGTTAAGTTGTGTTGGCCATGGAGAGTGCCCTTCTGTAGAGATTACGAAAAAATTCATTGATGTGACACATAATTTCTTTATTAATTACCCTGCCCAATGTATTGCAGTTCATTGTACGCATGGATTCAATCGAACAGGATTTTTAATTGTATCTTTTCTTGTAGAGAAATTGAAATTTGATGTTGGCAAAGCAGTGGAAGCTTTTGCATATGCCAGGTTTGTATTTATCAAGACTTAATGACAGAGCATCAAGTTAATGAAAGAATTGTTTTTATTTCTCAGGCCTCCGGGTATTTATAGAGGGACCTATATTCGAGAATTATTTAGACGTTATGGAAATCTATCCAATGCCCCTCTAGCGCCACCACTTCCTAGGTGGTGTAGTGAAAAAAATAAAACTAGGAAGTATGGAAAATATCGTTAGTATAAATTGAAAGGAGTATATTTTTTGGAGAGATTAGTTTTTGGTAAAATAGCTTTATGGCTTTCACTTCCCTATCTTTATACAAAAAATTGAGGGACACTTCCAAAAAGGTAAAAAAGCAATTAGGTTTAAAATAAACTCTTCACAAAGATGAGTAGACACAATTTTTTGTATAAAGTGAAAGCCAAAAATTTTCTTTTCCAAAAAATCATTGGTATGTTTTACATATCAAAGGTAAAGAAAATGTTTTTTGTGTAAAATCTGATTTTTCAAAAATTATGTACATATTGATATTCATACAAAACATTGTTATCAGGTAATTAAAATGTTCAGTAATCTTGTCTTCAGTGGGATGTCAGGTTCATTTTAAAAATGATTTCTTCAAGGTACAGTAAATCAATATTTTGCTGCTTGTTGAATACGGTTTTATTGTGTAGGGCATAATTTGCTGAATTGGTTTTGAAGCTTTCTAACTAGTAGACAGAAGGTCAAGATTGGAAACTATATATCAACTATAATTTTTCTGTTCTACGAAAATGAGTTTCAGTTAGCACTTTTAGTCTTGCCCAAAGAGCCCTGTGTATTTTAGAATATTTGGAGAAGGTGGAGTTATATTCAAAAGAAATAAATAGTGAGTAGAGGAAGTCTCGTATCATTTTATGAGAAAATATTTTCTTGGTGGGAGTATCATCTACCAGTGTTTTTCAAAAGATGGTGATCTAAACATTTTCTATTATTCTGAAGCATTATTAGGTTCAAAATAAATTTCACGGCTTAGCACTTGTCCCATCATTATAGAACAAAAATATTAAAAAATTGTGTTACTAGTATCTAGTTTGATTCTGGTAAATATAAATAAGTTTCATATTTCTGAGGATATTTCTAATTTGTTGCCCTTAGGCCCTAAATTCATTGTTGAACCCATTGTAGATAGTACCTTTTCCATTAGTAATCTTTTAACAGATGTAGATTACATTACTTCTACTATCAATGATGATAACTAATTTAATCAATTCTTCAAAATGTTGTAACAACAATTTTTTCCAACACTTATTTATGAAAACTAAACATTTTCTGAGGACAATTATAATTCAATAATGAATAATGAATTAATCTAACAAAGGAAATGTCACTGTCATTCTTGACGGAGATCAATATATAATAAATATAAATGAAAATTGTTAAGCTCACTCCTTACAAGTGCAAAGGAATTAACGTAAATGTTGATTGTTCATATGGGTCACAACTCTTTGTCGAATAGTACTACAAATGAAACTAATCTACACCAAAATTCTATATTGTTCTTGTCCTTACCATTCATTATTGATGTGACACCTAAGTTGTGTAAAATTTTCAAAAATGTAAATGGAAAAATAGCTTTTAGAACCATTTTAACTATCATTGGATATGGATTGAACCCTGAGGGATGTGCTCTCAGTAACCATGTTTTTAAAGAAGGATCAATTATTTACTTACATATTATAATTGAGTAATTCAATCTGAATAACAAAAATAAAATATCAAAAATTCAACTTCAGTTAATAAAAGTGGATTACATAATGATATAAAAAATTATCGAGCAGTCTGTAATCAATCAAAATTACCAAATTGTTAGACAGCCTAATTACAAAAAAGCTAACATGGGATTGTAGACATATAATCATTAATCAACAACATTAATTCAGTAGTTAGATCTACTAGCACCAATCTGCTCATTTATCAACACTGTATAATAAATGCCTTCGAAAATAGATACCAGGTGGATTCTATTTACACAGAATCACAATTTGTTATTGCATAAACTAAACGCTTTGAGTATTCAAGAAAATATTCTGAAATGGATTAAAAATTATCTAGCCTGCAGAGTACAATTTGTAAAATGTGGTAACTCAGTATCTTCCTCAATCACAGTGTCATCGGTTGTACCACAGGGTTCTCATTTAGGGCCATTGCTTTTCAACCTATATGTAAATGACTTGAGATATGTTATTCTTTCTAGTGAATTTCTTTTGTTTGCTGATGACCTGAAGATGTTTAAAGTTATTCATGACTCAACTGATACAGAATTATTACAGTAAGATTTATCTAACTTTGTTCGCTGTTGTGATAAAAATCTACTATAACCAAATATAGACAAATTTCAAAAATTTACTTTTTTCCGAAACACAAATCCCATTAACCGACCATATAAAATCAATCAATCAGAACTGAAAACAACAAACACAATCAGAGATTTAGGAATCACTCTCGATCCAAAAATATCATTTAAACACCATATTGCAAATATTACTTCTAAAGCACTAACAATGTTAGGTTTCATTCTTAGATCTGCAAATGAATTATATCTCACTTCAATAAAAATCATATATTGTTCAGTTGTTAGATCAATAATCGAATACAACTCCAGTTTTTAATAAGTACTGCATATAAACTGGGATATCATATTGGTGAATATGACTATAAAATTATATTGGACATTCTTAACTTGAACACTCTGGCTCATAGAAGAATAGAATAAGATCTTACACTAATTCATAAAATAATCAATGGCATCAATTCCCCGGAACTTGTCGAACTTATAACTTTAAATGTGAATCCAAGGAGAACAAGAAATTCAGAAATCTTCAAAGTATCCTTTTGTCGCACCAACTATGGCCGGAATGAATCTGTAGGTAGAATTTTGAGACTTGCAAATACATACAATGTAGATTTGGATTTTTTAAATTCTTCTTTGGAAACATTTAAAAAGACTGAAAAGATTGTAATTCATTAACTTATTTTTACGATTTTTTTTATTTTATTTCATATATTTTTTCCTCAAACCTAGCTTAGATTACTGTCGAATATATATGAGTGAACTTGTTAATTATTTTGTAAAAAATAGGCATTGCCTTAAATAAATAAATATGTAGAATTTAGTTAGTGAGTCATTCGTAAAATTAAATAAATTATTTTTTGAAACACTTTGAAAAAGATAAGGATTCCGAATTGGTTTTGCCAGCTTAACGGTAAAGCTAGCAGAACCCACAGATTTTTAAACAACTCATGGAATGTCAGCTATGGAGATGACAGAAACTCGAAATAAGTATAAAATTCTCAATATATTTCTATCACTCCCACATTCGAAGAATTATTTCAAAGATAGTCACCCAAATATTTAATTCGAACGAGGAGCAAAACAATGTTCAATATCGTAATTAAGGAACCTAAATTGACCCTAAAATTATTAAAGTTGAAATTTTCGAAAAAGTGAAGCTCAACGGTAGAACTAGCAGAACCCACTTAAATAAACAACAGATCAAAAGTCAGCAATAGGAAGTTATAAAAGCCTAAAATAAGCCTCCTCAATATCTCAATATATTTTTCCCTCGCCAATAGTTGAAGAATATTTTTTGAAAATTATTCATTATTATCGCATGTTTGAGGTAGGTAATTACAAAATTATTCAATTCAAAAAATGGGGAAAAATGTTTAATAGCGTAATCAAGCTACCAGAACCCACGATATCTCCGTTGGATGAAGGGCAAAAAATTCTGTAATAGGGTACAAAAATAGACTGAAATTATGACCTTGAAATAAATATGAAAATCCAAAGTGGTTCTGCTAGCTCATCAGGGGTAATTATACAAGGTGCCCCATTAGTGTGATAAAGCACAGTATCTCGCCTATAATGAGGAGTATATGATGAAAATTTTCAGAATAAAGTTTACTTTGTTGTTTATTTTAAAAATAATTTGGAATATACAGAGTGTTTCTTTGAGGCGGGGCAATACAAATCGTCATTTTTTTTTAATGGACCGCCTCTGTAAGTTTTTTCATCGTTGAACTGAGCAGAAAGTTTTATATAAGGAGGTATTACCTTATTTCGAAAATTTTGCGGCGTTGTCAAGTTATTGCTGAAAGAATGAAAATCTTGCAAACTGTTATTTCTTGAATTTCGCAAAACTCCGTGCAAAACACTTAATTATATCTACAGTGCTAAAATAATAGTAACCGGTTGCTTGTAAACTCGTTCATGGTGCGCAAATAAATGCGTCATGCGCATCTCAGTAAGGCAAGTGGTGCGCAATGAAAGTGTTATCAAAGAGGGCTACGATTTTGACTTTCAATGATCGATAAGTTTTAGCATAAAACAAATATTACTGTCATACAATTTTGTACTGGGGGCAAATAATAAAAATTGTTTATTAGCGACCAGAATTTATAATGAACGATATCCATACAGGCGACAACCCAGAAAAGAAGTTATGTAAATTGACCAAAAAACCGTCGCATGAGCATCTCTTAGAAATTGATGAATGACGTCAACTGTTATCCAGATTTGCTTAAAAGGGTCATAACTGATGACGAATCATGTGAATATGGTTATGACATGGAAACCTAATTCCAATCGTCCCAATGGAAAAGCCCAGGAGGACAATACTAAAAAAGCACGCCAAGTTCGATCAAATGTTGAAATTTTGGTCACTGTTTTGCTTTCTACCATGGTGTAGAGCATCAGAAGTTTTAGCCACATGGTCATACGGTTAATAAGGAGTATTATCTTCAAATTATGTGCCGCTTGCGAAAAGCAACACGAAAAAAACTTCCGGTATTGTGGAAAAACAATTCATGACTTTTGCATCACGATAATGCACCTGCACGATCACTCGTCATTGCTTGTTGGTAATTTTTTGGCTAAAAACAACACCGTAATCATACCTCAGCCACCGTATTCACCAGATTTGGCCCCCTGCGACTTTTTCCTGTTCCCAGTATTGAAAAGACCCAAGATTGATGAGACCAAAAAGGACATATCAGAACTGCTTCGAGGGTTGGAAAAAACCCTGGGACAAATGTATTATAGCTGAGGGAGACTACTTTTAAGGGAGCAAAATAGAAATATATCAATGAATGAAAACTTTTTGAGAAAAATGGAAATTCACCTATTTTGAGCAGACCTCATATAAGAGTTGTTGTCCGAAAGTACTATTTCTTTTGTGTAATTCAATGTTTGCATGAAAGTAATTGTTTCAAGAAGGCTCTTTCTTACAGTTTGTATCTTACAGTAATTTATAGGCAAGATCTACACATCTTTGTAAAATTGCCCATCTCTCCTGAAAATATACCTCTCTCAACATATATTTATCTATCTATGAAAGTAATTTCGTTGAGTGATGGTGCATTGTTTTTTCATTAGCTAGAAATCCGAAGATGAATATTTCAGTCAAGTTTCAAAACAGAAAAATACAACAATAGAGAATATTTAATTCTTTATTTTACTAATGAGAAACAGTTACATATCTTAAAATTTAAACCAAGTTCTGAATTTTTAACATTTTGAAGTATGATTAACTAATAAACCGAATTTTCAACATTTTCAAGTATGATTGACTAATAAACTGAATTTTCAACATTTTCAAGTAAGGTTAACTAATAAACTGGCAGGCTTCTTCCGACTTCTACAGGATCTGCTAAACGAATGTTCACAACAGAAACTACAGGATATTGATTTCCAACGAATATTACTGCAATATGAACAGCACATCGCTCCATTAAATATTTCCATTTTAACATGGACTTTTCATCATCTGACATATTCGAAAAATCACGAGCCTAGAACAAGATTATGTTATTGTAGTATTTTTGACCTTGAAAATCAAGACAAAATCATATGAATATTCTGAAATATATTTCTTGAAATGCAAATCTCCAGCATAATATTCTAATATTTCCTAGGGATTTCCTTAAGAATATTGAACCAATTACATCCATTTTCATGCAACTTCAATACCTATTCCATTTTTTCACACAGAATAGATAATAATTTTAGATAATTTCAAATAAGTATCTATTTCAATTCAAAAATGAAATATTTCCCTCAAAATATTCATATATTTCCCTCAAAATATTCATATATTTCCATAGGATTTATTTGAGAATATTGAACCAACTACCTCCATTTTCATGTTAGGTTTATGACACTAGGAATATGTTAAGCCAAATCAAGCTGAGATTTCTGTTTGAACTTTTCATTTTGAATATAAAATATTCGCCTTAGTGCAAGTACGAGTACTGTACACAAACCACCTAAAGTAGTTTGTGGTACTGTAGGTAAATTTGCCTGTATTTGGGTTACATCAGGTATACGTACATATATACATAAACAGCAACTTCTCTATTCGATTCGACGATTCACCATAACAATTTTCCCCACTTTCTCAACTCAATTTTCCTCGCTTTATCAACATTTTCATTGGTTGTTGATGTGCTGGATGCTGAGGCGCCCAGGGCGTACGTCGTCGTTCACATTTCCTCGACCTCCTGCGAAAAGCTTGTATCACTTGTAAACATTTTTCTGGCTCAGAGTACAATCACCGTATGCCATTGTCAACATTTCAAGTGTTTTTGAGCTAGGTAGTCGGTCGGTTCACCGTGGGTGCTTTGTTCACTCACTCAAATCGACTGCCGTGTTGGTCGCTGGGTTCAAGCCCCAGGCTGAACGATCGATTTTCACTTGCTACCGCCAAACCCGTGTTAGGAATCACACGTTAAAAGGTAAGACCTCGTTAGTCCTTAGCTCGCACAAGTGTCGACTTCTTAGGTTTGTCGTTCGTAGGGGTGCGACAGCTAGATTTTTTTTAAACTTAATTCCATTTTTTACACAAAATTTGATGCAAATTTTTTGATCCATTTTTTTCAATAGCAGAAAATCACCGAACACGCAAAACACTTAACTTTTAAGCCTCTCACCAACAAACTAAACATACTCAACAGCTGAAAATGTAAACTTATCTTCGAGACGAGTGCACCAACAGAAAAAAATCGCTAATCGAATGTACCTACGTAGCCCGCGAAATTTGAACATCCACCTTATTTTTTAAACAGTTAGTATTAATAGTTATTTTTTATTGAATAAAAAATAATTCCTATAAATTTTCAAAAACATTTCTACTCAAAAGGGTTTGTTATATGTGAATGTAAGAACAATTACTGTTACACCCCTTGACTCAACGTCATAAATCCTGAGTTACTTGTAGCAAATAATTCTTTTAAAAGAAATTGCCTCGTTTTCATTTTGACATTTTTGCATGAATATAAAAGTAACCCTTTGACAAGTAGTTTGAATTAATGAAAGTTATTGTTATTTGAAAACAAAATGGGATGATGAAAATCAGAGATTAAACACTTACTGTACAACTCAATGCTTGTTCAACAACTTCTCCCCTAAATCGGCAATTGGTCAGTGTTCCAGTATGATCAGATAAAGTGATTTTAATATCAAATTTGAATTCTGGATCAATTACCTCATTTTCATATACTGTTGAACATTCGGAATTTTCACAAAGAGAACCTTTAATCGGCATCTTGCATTTTCCACTAAAATAAAAAGATACCTGTTTTGTAACGTATATATTAACCAGTGACCTCCCCCCAAAAGGGAATGAAAATAAAAAAAGCACTTTCATTAAATTTGTCCTTTAAATGGCAGTTTGTTAAGTTGGATAACTTTTCTGTTGAATACTTATTTCACAGGTAAATGAAATCCGGACAAAAACATATTTTTTGTAGCTTATTAATCTTAGATCTAAGAGAGTTCATGTAGTCACAATAATGCCGATGGATATCTAAAAAAATTATAAAAATTCATCAAATTATCATGAATTACTATATAAACTCCCATTTTGAATATCTAAGTTTGATTTTTATGAGTAATACACTAAATTATCGCAAATAACAATGTTTTATATATTTACATTTCCAATTGAGATTTACTTAGCAGAATAGTTTTAAATATATGTTGTGATCCAATAATGGAATCGGAGAAAATTTCGGAAACATTGTCTGCTTATTTAAGTTAGAATATCGTGTTGATGAATCAGTTTTAGTACAGAAATAGCAGCGATACAAAGATGAAATGAAAAGTTGAATAAAATGATATTGAGATATTTACATACTTTTGTACTTAAGTTTTATTTTTGCATCGTATGGATATTTTGCGAATGTGTCACTTATTGCACTGTTCTAAAAATGTAATTTTCTCAACTATCTTTTGAAATATTTACATTATTATTGTAAATAATTTGAATTACAGTGTTTTGTTATATTACTAGTGAAATAAAGTTGAGTTTGATTATTATACAGTGTAGTCAATTATTGGTAAACCCACGGGGAAAAACGTAACAATATCTCATTCTTGATTTAAAATAAATCACAGATATTTACGCTTTTTCTTCATTTCACGAGCCAAATATTATATTGTATTCACTTGTGTTATGAGATAGGCCGTTTCAATGAAGTTATTCAGATCATCATTCATCAACGTATCGTCTACTTCAGCATTAACTGATTTGAAACTGAAAAATCTGCGTAACAGTGAATTGAGCAATGTTTAAGTGATTTCAGAATGGTAGAGGTATACAAGGTGAAAAGAAGAGGTCCAAGAAATGATCCTTGTGGTACCTCTGATATGATGTTCATAGTTGTAGAATAAATATTGTCAATACATTTTGTTTCCGGTCCAATAAGGTATTTTCAAATAACTGTATTGCATGTTCTGATAAACCCATATAATATAGAATAGCCAATCACAGTGAATGATTGAGTGTATCGAAAGCAAGACTAAAATGTAGGAGCACTGAAACAGTACGCAAACCTTGATCTCTTGCTCTTAATAATGTCATCCATTATATGCAAAAGAACAGTGGTGCAAGTAACATTTACTGAAATCAGATTTAATTACAGGAAGTAATGAATAGTTATTGAGATGTGCTTTCGACTTATATTCTATTATAGAAAAATTGCATTGTAATACAGCTTTCGTTCAATCAAAGCACACAAGTAACGCTAAGAAATACGTATTTGAAAAACCATATACTTTTTTTAACATATGTTTTTTACCTCGAAGAGGGGTGTTACTTTTCTTATCTTTTATATAGTTACTATAATGAAAAACCCACATGATGGTTTATTCATCCATACTGTAATATCCTGAAAGTATATCAATTCATTTATAGAGAAATCTTAACATAATACTGCAGTTATAATAGTACACACAAATTATTTGCATATTCGTTCCAAGAATTATTCGAAATTTTTCGTTTCTGAGAAAATTAAAATTGAGTTTTCTGAAAACTTTATTATTTTGCTGCATGGTCGAAACCAGAGCCCAAAAACAGCAATGTTGATCCAACACCAGACAAAGCTGCTTTGACATGCCATAAATCTCAGCAATGGTGTTAGGCTGATTTACGAATTCATTTTTGGAATGTCCTTGAAAGACTAGCCTGAGTAGAGGCAGTGGCATCTCCCCTTAGGAAGATGCCATCCATGGGAACGCAAGAACACTCAATCCACGAATATCGAAGATGAACGAGGCTTCTAAAGCGGATCAAATCTAGTTCGGCAGCACATACAACACATTTTCTGCACCAGTCCTTGACGTCGGTTTGACAATTAACTCAGTAAGACCGTCGTCTTACTTTCTGGAGGGTCTGTCTGGCACCTTTCTTCTCCACTGTCTTCAGACTCCAACACACGTTTCAGAAACCTATTTTCCAAGGTGAGGGAGTTCAATTGGGCCCAGTAGGAATTAACCGCTGGCGAATAACCTGCAACCTCCTGCCACGATGGTCTTTGATTACCTTTCTTCCATCCGATGACTAAACCAAGATCTGGGTCTTTCTCTTAGTCTTCTTTGATCTTATTGTCCTGCCAGTTGTTGTCTACAACTGTAGTCTACAAAAAGCAGCTTCCTTCTCTTCTGCTCGTCGGCAATGTGAGCAGTCATCGGGGCATGGTCTCCGTGACAGGGCTCTGCGTTTTTTACGGAGGCTTGCTGGATACAGATTGGATTTGCAACAGACCTCCTTGGAAAGCCTCGTCTATGTTTGATATTCGTTGATATTTCTATTAATTCCACAGATGGTGACTTCGAAAGGAAGGATGTCATTCATTAGACCTGCCCTTCAATGCATTCGTTGTTCAGTCTAGCATCTCTGATGAGACATATTGCGGGTCGAACCAGTGCTGTCTGGGAAGTGTTTGGGAGAACTTCAATGATATTTTGGAAGCGAAACAATTCAAATACTTGATTTCTTTCAATCAAAAGAAGCATAATTATATGTATAAGAACATAGGCTTTCACGACCGGAGTCATGATAAAAAAACAAAATCCGGGCTACAGGCCGTGGTCGAATGGAACCTGAAGTATCAATCGTTTCGTTTGTTACTGCGGCTGATATCATCAGTGACATGTGCGTTGACTGCGAGGCCTCGTCCTCGCAGTCATGATATTTGACTCATTATATTTGCTACAGTAGCAGACGAAATGTTTGGTACTTCAGGTTCCATTCCAGTACCACCTACCAGCCATGATTTTGTTTTCTTTAATAGGTATCTGTAATTTGCACATGTATACATCAACTAATGTTTCCTTAATATTTTTTTAAACAAATTAGAAATGGTGAAGAAACTGACAACTAATTCATCGATAGTGTTAGCAGGCGATTTCATTATGAATTTTGCTGATTTTGATCAAATCACAGTAGAAATGAAATATCCACCTGTTCAGAATCTATGTTATGAACTAGGCTACATCTTTAAAAAGCTAGACAAAAAACCACTAATAGAAATCTGGGTGCTTGCATAATATTACGTGGAAATTCACAAAATTAATGTGCCCTTACAGTTACAAATTAATGTTGAAAATTTCCATGGGATCAAAACAAGTATCTAGTTTTACCATCTGCATTCGACAAATGTATCTCAAATAAATCAAATCATCTGGTGGAAGTTAGTTACCTTTGTTTCACAACTAATTTTTTGCTTCCTTCATCCTTCAGGTTACTTATATTTTTACTTCTTTGTAGCAAGATATTACAAGAAGTGAATGAGTACACGTAAAAGCTAAATAGTGGAAAATGTATACAAACCATGTTATCATTAGTGTTTGTGAAAGACCATCCAAATCCAGGTTGGAGACAAATGCAAAAAGCAATGCCGTAAATTGCTTACTTCCAGATCTGACCTCTTGTAGACTGGCATTTATTTTATCTTGAATTTGTTTCACGCTCATTATATCACGAATTGTACTAGCTGGAATTTTATTTAACATTTTATGGAACATTTATTCTTCAATCAATATATTGCATCTTCCCAATCAGAAAAATGCCCATAATAAAAAAAAAGACTCAACATACAAAATCAAATACCGAGTGCAAATGATTCTTGTAATACTTTAACGACAAGTACTTGTAATCTTTCATTTATTCATATACAAATGGATTCCATGGATGTTAGTGAATAATGAAGAGCTGATTTTAATACCTTTGACAATGTTCTACAATTTGCTGAATTGAAAAACTTTTTTAGGTCTCAATTTTTCATTTTATTTTGAAATTAGGATTGTGGAATTCTTAACTTTTTCAAACTATTATCAAATATTCAAATACTCCATCTTTTATATTTTTTATCGTGAATTTGATTTTGTTTGTTTATTATGTGCAATATTTTTGAAAGAAAACACTTACGGTCTGGTAATGTGGTTAAGAACTGATCTACAATCTCAAAAGTTTCAATAGGAGCATCTTTTGCATAATCAAGCAGTAGCTGAACTTCTTTACCTTCGGGATTCTCAGTAACTATAGTACGATTAGATACTTTGGCAATAAACTGTCTTTGAAAGTTTGACCACAGTACGATCAAGTCGGTAAAAAATAAGGCAGTGAAACGAGGTGTCCATTTTTCTGACCTTAAAAAAATATTTCTTACATTTCAAATTTTTGTATAACTCTTTTTCGTTGGTTTGAACCAGGAGTTCTCAAACTTTGTAGTAGTTTTATGACAGTTGTTGGATACGTTTTTGAACTTCTTCAAGTAGTGACGCTAGTCCCGTGAGTTGGGCTACCTATCGGGCGCGTCCCCAAGTGGCGGTTAGGGGAACGGTCATGGGACTGGAGACCGTGTCCCGGAAGCCAATGCGGCCTTACGGACGGGGTCGCCGGACTCCTGGTCAGTGGCAGAAATAAATAGAGTGAGGGGAACTAAAAATTCCCAAAAGCCTTTGCAAAACATGCCACCGTGGACCAGCCTACCCAAGCTAAGGTGTAAGGAATCGTGCCGACAGCTGAATCGCCGCAGGGTGATATGCGAATACTAACGATCCCCTTGGGGAACTAGGCGAAACCTTATTGTAATCAGCCTACCTCTGGTAATGCGGGGCTCTGCCAGAGGTGACCAACTCTTCCCTTGCTACTCGTTGGAGCACACATGAATGAAACAAACACAAAAATAGAAACAACAAAAACCAATGTCGAGGATGGACAGAAGTGCTCACCTCAATCTAAGGCAGTGGCTGGGAATGAACAGAAATGTCCACCCCAATCTACTGCTTGGAATGAGGCTGGACATAGCAGATCACCAAGTGATGTGATACAAAGGCCAAGGCGTAAGCGTATTTGCGGCGCCGAGGTCAAAAGGAGAAAGGAAGCGAAAGAGGCAGGAGTGGCAGCAACTATAAGTGCACCTTCCTTCTCCCCCACTCCACCTCAAACAACAAGGGCACTTCCTGCGGCGGGCGCCAAGAGCTCCGCCTTGAATAAAGGCAAGGAACCGGCTGCCCCTGCAGGAAAGCTCCCTCACTTGTGCACCTCCACGCAGGGAACTCCAAGAAGGTTGAAGAAGCCGCGCAACGACAGTAATGTCGCTGCACCTTCCAAAACCTTCGCAGAGGCCAACGTGAGACACCTGAAGATTGCCAAAGAGAGTATGTATTCGGCGACTCTTGGCCTACACCTGCCAATATAAAGGGGATGTCTCCTAGTGACCTGTCCACCTTCCTGGAAAGGACAGGATGAATGATGACCTAGGAGGACAACTCCTCAGGAGGATGTACAATGGGTCACAAATGGCCTAAGTGCTGTGGGTCTACACTCACCCTCCCTACTCTACAGATACAGAGATAGTGATGCTAGTGAATGTGCGAAAACAAAGTGCCGCAAATATGACCAGTCATAAATACCTTCAAGTCGGTTTTACTGAACTAGCAAACAATTTGTTTTCAGATTGATTCGTCCGTTACTTCATGAAGACCAATAGTAATTTCATAAACTACACTTTACGATTTAATCTCCACAATTTTAAAAAAATAAAGTTTGTGGAAATCAAATCGTAAGGTGTAGTTTATGAATTAGCAAACAAACCACAATGTGTGATGTAATTTATTGAATTTCTAATATATATCAGTTACCTTCAGCACTACAATACTATCGGTAGTAAGTATGCACATTTTGCACATATTTCCCCGTCACGACCCAGTAATGTATATGTGTATTCGATATACATTTTTCAGTAATATATACGACATACTGAAGTGTATGTTTTTTCCTTGAGTGATATGTAGTGAAGTGTTGTCAGCATATCAGCCAAAAGCATGAAGCCTTCCGAAATTAAACATTTTGCTTTGATAGACAAACCAGTAGAATTTTTCCAAAAAAAACATCAAGACATATATAGTTCTTAAGAAATCTACTCTGCAGCGGGCGACTTTTGATGTAGTTCACTATCTTGACAGCTTCATTTAAAACTTGCCGTAATTCATCTGGCATTTTCTTGACTGTCAAGCAGTGTACCCAGCCTCAATTCGGTATAAATGATTTCAACCTGAAAATCAATCCACTCGTCTTTTCTGCAGCGGCCTTTGTTCCATCACTACAAATTGAAATGCATTTCTTCTAATCAATTTCGAAAGGTTCAGTTGCTTCAACGAGCATCCCATAAAGAATTTCACTTGTTGTCTCATTGGGTAGGGACTTACAAAACAATACATTTTCATGAATAGATACACCGGAGTCATACCGGATGTAGCACAAAAACTGAGCACAGATGACAATATCTGGCGACTCATCCAACTTTAGCTATTTCTGAATATATTCAATATCTACAACCATGTCAGATATTCGTTTTGATACGTGCCAAGACATATTGATATCCATTTCAACCCCACCAATAAATGTATCGAAACAGAAAGCGGAATTGTTTGTCCTGACATTATTATATCCGTCATAGACATTTATTTCAATTCGAAATCACCTCTAGATCCTCATTAAGATATGCAACCTCCGCTGCCAGTGAAGATGTGCATCCGCAGCCGATGTCCTGGTATCCAAATTGAATGACGAGACAAGTGTGCTGTCGTCAGCAAAGCAATATATTGGATTCTTGGTTTTTCAATAAGTCGTTGATATACAATAAAAAGAGGGGTGGAAGACACTATGGATCCCTGGGAAACACCATCGTTGATGGTAAAAGTATTCGAGAGATATCAATCGACGGCCTTTTGCGGGAGACGTTTTTTCAGGAAGTTGGAGAGCCATACACAAACCATGGCAAACCCGAACTTTCCACTTTTTCAGTGATGAAAAATGGTTGAAAAGGGACCAGAGAAAAATGGTCTGTATGCTCAAGACAGGGTGAATGCGTTTGTAAACTTTGTGTTTGAAACGCAATAGTTAAGCAAGAAGATTTTGAAAATTTTACACTTACTAAGAGTTTATAGAGTTTGTGCCGAGTATTGGCGCCACATCTTTTGTCCTAGTATCATCTCATCTCGAAGCTCTGATTGAATAATTGACACATGACATTCCAGTTAAAGATATGAGGGGTCTGGTGAGTAGTCAATCCGGTCAGTGAGCAAGCCGTAACAAAACCTGAGCTAAGTGCTTGTCTTCGTGATCGACTGCTAGAGATTTCAAGTGATCAGTCAGCAAAACTAACTTTTAACAATGCTTGTATCAACAAATTTTGGATAGGTATTAAAAGGGAATACCCAGAAGTGTCCATAACAGCCTTAAAAACTTTGATGCTATTTCATACAAGTGTGAACAAGGATTCTCTATGATGGTGAATTTGAAAACAAAATAAGAAATCGTTTGGCACTGGAAAATGACATTGTTTTTTGGGTTACAAAACTCATTCCAGACATGAAAAAATTGGTCAATTCCATACACGGATTGTGGATTGAAACTAAGAAATCCGAAACTATTGTTGCCAGGATATCATGATTTCCTGTGGATAATAAAAAATCCACTCTGTGAGAAGATAATGAATTTGGAAAAAATATTTTGCTTGAAATGTCTAAAATACAAAATGTACATCTTCTACAAAAGTCAAATCATCACCATGGTTATGGCATGTTGCAGAACAAGCAGTACCTAAGTTACGTAGGTATGTGCATGTGAAGAAACAATATGTTACTTTATTCGGAAAAAAAATAGTTTCGTGTTTCTCGCATGGTTGACGAACTTCCTGAAATCTCGAAGCTTGACACACAAAACATCTCTATTTCCTAAATGAAATAATGTACTATTGGGGCAAGTTGAAGTCAAAAATATCTGCTATGTTAGTAAATCCGAAGTCAAGGGTTAAGGGACGTTTGCATCTTAAAGTGGGCAGCTTATATATTTGCAAAAATATCAGTTCTACCTAGTTCAACCGCATTGTATTTATTTGGCTCTTTCAATATATGAGGTACCTATATCTTTTGCGTTCATAAAATAATTACAAATTGGTGGGAGATCATTTCTTTCTACAAGTAGGTACTCTTTTTCCGAAATAGCTAATATGTATACTTATGAGTAATAAGTACGCAAGAACAAAAATTCAATGTCACGCCGCGACTGAAAAGTGTTTTCACTAGATTATTTTCCAGGTTTCGATCGTTGTAAAAAGGATGTTCTATAGAAAACACTCTGTAACTTGATGAAATTTACCTGTTTATAATGTCAGGATCCCAAATATCTATTTTCAAACTGGGACATGTGTGATCAAACACTTCCACAGTACGAACCAGCATAATCTCATTTGTTTTCGAGGTTATCGTTCGAACTTGTCCCAAGCCTCGAACTACCGCCAAAACATCAATAAAATCTGGAAAATGGTACAATTTAAATAATAATAGAATAACAGAGGTAATTTTTACCTTTTATTGATGCTCCACTGTTATGAATATCTCGAAGGGGCAAAAATCCGGCAATGGGTTTTGTTGGGAATTTGAGCAGAGGTAGGTAGTCCACTGACATTCCAGCATGATGAACAATAGATGATTTTTCATTGAGGGTAAGATTATAAGGCGAAGTTACCATAGGACGAAATTGTTCACTAGTATCATTCAATATTCTTACGTTTATTTTGGGATTAATGATTTCAACTAGAAATTATACATAGTAAAGTTCGGAAAACTCTATCGTAGTCACTGGAATAAGTTTTGTGAAATGGGTGAACAATGGAGACTGAGACGAAGCCGTATGAAAAAAATTGATACACCCCTCTACACCTTCCCTTTACTCATAATTTTCATAGACCTTTTGCGGAATGTGTATTGAATATTGAAATTATATTCTGAGAATGCATATTATGAGTAAATAATGGATATTGAGTCGATCCGTATAGAAAAAAATTGATTCATTTCTCAGCACCCATACTTTACCTACTCTTGGAATTTTCGAAGATTTTTTGCGGAATGCATATTGAATAATGAAATTATTTTCTGCAAATGCATATTCTGAGTGAAAATTGAACACTGAAACGATCTATATAGGAGAACACTCGATTCAATACTTAGGAATGGGTATCAAATATCAATACCATTTTCTGAAAATCCTTACTCTAGGTTAATAATGAAAATTGAGACGATCTACATGAAAACGTTTGATTCACCCCTCAATTAATACATTCAATTTTATCGTGCATATACTTGAGTTAGAAACGCCTTTCATCGTGCATACAAAAAATATAATCATAGGATAAGAAAGGAGGCCAAAAGCTTCACGTTGAGCTAGCAGAAGCAGAAGTCATGATATCTCCGTTAATTGAAGAGCAAAACATTTTGTAATTGATTCTGAAAATAAGCCTAAAATTGTGGAGTAAAAATAAATACAAGAATTGAAAAAGCTCCAACCCGTTCAACAGGGGTCTCAATACATTTTCATGAAATAGTTTCAATATTTATTACCCATTCCGTAACATTTCTCGGAAAATGATGAGAGTAAAGTGAGGGTGTGAAGGGATGAATGTTTTTTTTTCTGTGAAGATCATCTGAATTTGAATCATTCACCTGCAATAAGCATTTTCAGAAAACAGTTTGCAATTTATTCCATTCCGCAAAATTCATCAGAAAATTTTTTAAGAGTAAAATGGGGGGTGTGAAAGGATTAATCCATTTTCTCCTATACATATCATCTAACTTTTCTTGATGTACTCACAATAGAAAATGGTTTCAAAATTCAATACCCATTTCGCAAAAATTTTCCGAAAATGAGGGGAGTAAAGGAGTAAATCATTTTTTTTCTGCATAGAGCGCCCCGATTTCCATTATTCATTCAGGATATGCATTCTCAGAAATTATATTCAATATTTAAAATCCATTCTGCAAAAATTATTTCAGTCAATAAAATAGGTACGCCCGTGAATTTTTTGGTATACAGGATGTTTCAAACTCGATCCTCACCATTGGGATCTGTGAAACTATGAGAGATACGAAGATGGTTAAATTGGGGCAAAGTTGCGCATTTACCTGACTAATAGTATGCCTTTGAGATAGATAGTTCTGAAATTCCGAGTATATCCGGAGATATCCGAAAAAAACAGAAATTTTGGAAAATGGTTTTTATTTTTTTCTGACTTAATTTTTTGAAGGATTCGAAAATAAATAGTAGTTAAACATTGCCACTTTTTCCCTGCTACATAATGGTGTTTTCAGATTTGCTATTCGACGTTTCGTCTTCCGGCCACCATCATCAACGATAACTTTTGAAAGTTATCGTTCTTTTTCGAAAAATTGGAGATATTGAAAAAATTAATTCTTATCATAATAGGCTTTGACTTTGATGTTATTGGATCAAAATCTCACCGAGTTTGGTTCGTTTGAAAAACCAATGAAAAAATACGGAGACATAATCAACAATCAAAATTTGATAAATGAGGTGTGTACCTATGAGGTAGATTAGACATTGTATCCTGTTCAATTAAAATAGAACTTTGATCAAATAACAATAATTAACTAAAATGTAAAGAAAAAAGTAAATCACAGCAAATGCTCAAAATGCTGGCCTTGTTCATGATAACACAACTGTGCCCTTCTTCGAATATTATTCACTGCACGATTAATTTCCCTCCTCCTCAATCTTCCAAACTCTCTAACAATGCTGTGTTGAAGGTCCTCAATATTTCGATATTACCTCTGACCATAAACTCTATTTTTCAGTGTACCCCATAAGAATGTATCCATAACACGTAAGTCTGGAGATCTTGTTGGCCACCTTACCAGCCCATTAGTCCCTATCGATTTATCACCAAACCTTTCAGTCAGGTAATTAGATACTTGTCTGGTAGTGTGCGGTGGAGCACCATCATGTTGAAACCAGATGTTGTTATAGTTAGCCAAAGGTAGATCATCCAAATAGTCTTCGAAAATCGACATTAAAAACTGGTGATAGGTTTCTCCATTCAGAATTCCGTCAAATAAATGAGGACCCAAAATTGTTTCTTTGTAAATTCCTGCCCACACGTTAATACTAAATCGCACTTGAGGTCGAATTTCTCGGAACTGTCTGGGGTTGTTTGTGCTCCAAATGTGTTCGCTATTTCGGTTGAATATCCCACAATTCGTAAAAGTGCTTTCATCTGTCCAAATTACATTTTCCAGGAAAACAGGTCTTCTTATTAGCAAATTACAAAATTCTAATCGCCTTTCGGGATCACCTGGATGCAATTTTTGAGATATGTGTATTTTCAAACAGCTTTTTTTGAGATGTCTCCAAGCACTTGTATGACAAATATTCATTTCAGAGGAAATTTGAGGTGTAGATTTTCCCTGGTTCATATTTATATGCAAATTATTAATTTTTATTGAAAAGGACACAATGTCTAACTTACCTCATACATTCCTCATTCATCAAATCTTCTTTAGTTTCCTGATCCATTCTGTCTACGTATTTTTTCCTCGGCTTTTCAAATGAACCAAACTCGGTGAGATTTTTATCCAATAACTTGAACATAGTTCGACGTGGTTGTCGTCTTTCGGGATACAAGTTTAAATACATTTCCGATGTCCTAACACTGTTTCTATCGTATTTGTAATAAATTTGTATCATATCTCTTTTTTCTTCATTCGTGAAAGCCATTTTTCGCCAAAAATTCAATGACTTGTACAATAACAAAATGTCATTGAGTGTAACAAATTGAAAGTCAAATTTAGAAATATCTCAGAGTAAGCCTATTATAATCAGATTTTTTTTTTAATATCTCCAATTTTTCGAAAAAGAATGATAACTTATGATACATCATTGAAAAGGTAAATTTGGGTTCTATTCAAAACAGAAAGAATCCAAAGTAACGCCCATACGAAAAAATAAAGTTGATAATGGTGGCCGGAAGACGAAACGTTGGATATCAAATCTGAAAACACCATTATGTAGCAGGGAAAAAGTGACAATGTGGAACTGCAATTCATTTTCGAATCATTCAAAAAATAGTCAGAAAAAAATAAAAACCATTTTCCGAAATTTCTGTTTTTTTCTGGATATCTCCGGATATACTCGGAATTTCAGAACTGTCTCAACGGCATATTGTTAGTCAGGTAAATACGCAACTTTGCCCCAATTTAACCATCTTCGTATCTCTCACAGTTTCCGAGATCCCAATGGTGAGGATCGAATTTGAAACACCCTGTATGGTTCCTATGCTAAGTATTTCCCAATAAACGGGGCCGTTCTAGGCGAGGACAAACTTGGGAACTGTCCACATGGTAGCGAAACGGAAAGATGTGAAAATGAATCATTTTTTTAACAACTATGTATGAACCGTATTCGATAGTCTTATTACTGAAGTAACGATTTTTAATGAATTCATAATGCCATGTATTTTATAAATCCATAAAGTTCTGCAAAAGTACATATTTTTGAAAACAACGATGGGAAAGTTAAATCCGGCCCTTTAGGCACAGTATTCTCTAACTATAGGTATGGATATATTATGCTTCATAGGAAACCAATGAGCTTCTCGTTTGAATTTTAGTAGTTTGATATAAAAAACATCATTCAAAATTTTCTAAACTTACCAACATCTCCAGTACGAAACTTTTCGTTTGCCTGAAATATCACTTCGCTAGGTCCCCAATAAGTAATATTTATGTAGTCTTGCGGAGAGTCACGGAGAGTGAAATTCCAAACCCCTCTATAAACTTCAACAGATGACTTTTTGTCAAGAAATTTACGTGGTCTTTGTTTACCAATAATTATCCCAACAATTAAAATATTATCCAAATATGGATGCAATCTTCTTAAATTAACTTTTTGTAAAGCAACGCTAGTGTCGTTCATTTTTACTAAAAACTCTTTCTGCAAATATTTTGTTTCATTGACTCGTATTGTACTAAGGCTACTTGATGTGCGTACTTAAATGTCTAATCCGGTTTCATGTTCAACCAATAGGAAACAGAGATAGTGGATGCAAAGTGAATCAGACAGAATCCACGAATTTCCATCAAATTTAAGTTTTATTCTACTTCTCTACGAACTTGATTGTAAAAGTAAACAATGATGAGTCCGTAAACAAGAATAGGATCGTATATGTTTGGTTATGATAACAAATAAGTTACAATCAATTTAAAATTCAAAAAGGCAGAAATTTTAAATAGGTTTCAATTCTCCAAAATTGCACATATAGGGATGAAATTTGGCATTAACATAACATATTTTTGAGTGTCATTTAATCAGAAAAAATAGAGCTTTTTTCGCGAGATATTGCGAAAGGACTTTTTGCACAAACCTCATTGATTTTTCACAAAAATAGTCTCTTAGCTTGCAAAAAAACACACATTTGAAAAAAGAGGTTAATTAACTGCCAAAATATTTTTTTCAAAAATTCGCCACCCTATAATTTATCAAATTTTCCCGAAAACTAGTGGGGAGTATTAGAACTTTACATACAAAGCGGTGTTAAATGGTGAATATGAACGTTTGAACTTGTTGGAGCACTGAGAAGCTGAGCGAGGTAGAGGAGAGGTAATAGAGACGTTGGGCTCGGTGTGTTTGTTACTCGTTAAAAATATTTCCATATCTTTGTCGTCTCTGAACCGATTTTGTTGATTCTTTTTTTATCTGGGGTAACCCGTGAAAAAACTAACATATGGCATATTAGTTTTGCCAAAAAAATGAATTAGGTATTGTGGTAGTAACAAATATGGTTTTGAAAATGAACCGACCCAATTTTCAAAATTGAAACTATGCAGGGAGCTCCCTGTATACTCAAAATAAAAGACTGTTGAAATTGGAAGGTGTTTTCGATTACAAATTAAGAAGGCAGCAAAATTACCAGTAAAAATGGGGGTTTCAACTGTGTCGTAAAGCACGGTTCGGACGTAATGACTACTGACTCAATTTTAAAAATTCGATTTTGAAACAGCAAGCAGCTTTCTGTGAACTCAAAACTGAAGAACTACGTTATTATTCGGCGCGAAGCCCATGCTTTTTCAATAATAATGATAATTAGAGGTGGGTCCAATTATAGTTGAATACCTAGCAGTTTCTCTGTTTACAGATACCTTTTGATATAAATCTAAAAAAACTCCGGGAAAATAAAGCCACTATAAACCTCAAAAGTTATCAACAAAAAACTTGTTTTCAGCTAATCACTCATTAATTGAAATTAAAATGATATGGTCATGAATAATAAAAATCTATACAATAAATCATATTTTTATAATATACTAATGATTAATTCATTTTTCATATTCATTATTCATTGTACATTCTTCAATATTGATCCAATGAAACTTGAAAAATATTTTTAAAATTGCTATGATTAACTATGAAATGGAAATTATATATTACCTATACACCATCTTTACTACAAATTAAAAAAATCAATCAGAATGGGTTCAAAATACATGAAGCTATTAAAATTTTTTCCGAAAGCCGAGATTTTTAAGTCATTTACTCAACCGTGAGTGAGCTCAAAGTTTAAAGCCCATATTTACAGTTTGAAATCACGTTTTTGCAAAAAACGTAAAGTTCAAGTATTCCACTAGTTTTTTGCGAAAATTTGAACCCCTAATATTCATAAATCAAAAGTGACGAAATAAAAAAAATCTCAGCTCCTACTTGAGCCTGGATATTAATGTGTGTTGAAAATGTTGATGGAAAATAGATTTCTTGAACATTCACAAAGTTATGTGCAAAAAACACTCCGAAACTAACTTACTTTTTAGGCACCACTTTGAGGGTGGGAAAAAAATAGATGTCCCGTTTTGAAGATGGTAAAGAGTAGGTCTTGAAGAAGAAAATTCACAAAAATATAAATCTCCTCTTGGATGTACTTAGGACTTCAATTTCCACGATACATTTTACTCGTTATTTGCGAACATTCGCAATATCTCTCAAATGAAAATAATTTTTTTTCACCATTTTTTCGTGAGTAAAAAATACATTCTTGCCAGATTCTAACCCATAGGCGCGATTTTGGCGAAACGAAAAATATTTGAAATTCAATATTACATTTGAAGTTTCAGATCAAAATAATGCACACAACTGGTATTTTCATTGCTTGAAAAACTTACTCAAAATGCACGCCTTATTGGGTTAAGGTACATGAAACTTTCAAAGAAATGTATTCAGATACAATTCTAAGACTACAAGGACTTACGAATATTAAAATTCAATTAGTAAACCAAACATTCAAAATTGAAGTTAACACATATATAATTTTTGGAAACAAGGAATTACATACATGAAAGAGTATCAATATAAAATTAAATACAACAGTCATGCCTACAATCTCAAACTAAACCCAACACTAGTTTTCATTCTTCATTAATACTATTTTGGACAATTTGTATGATTCACTTAAATTCTTTCACACGTCGAAAACAAATTTGTTCTATCACATCAACAGTTAAAAAAATGTTACTGTTTTTTTTTTGAGTTTATAACCTTCCATAATCTGAAAAACTAAAAGATAAATCAATAGGGAATCTGCTTAAGTGTAGTAAAGAGCAAACTGAAAAGTTCACCTCAAAAAGTTTCTGCGTAATATAAACTACTGAGAAGTCCAATTAGTCAGTAATTTGTCGTATATATAAATTTTGCTTACAAATTGAAAAAATTAATTATTGATAATTCGCTTTCTTAAGTGGTTGACGTTTCGGAAAACAATCCTTTTCAGTTTTCGAAAACTGAAATGTACTGTAAAAATCTCGCCCCAAACTGTGATAGTTCTAATTTCTTTTGAAACAAGTGAAAAGAATGAAATGTCCAGATGTCACACGCGACTGCCTACATGGACTGGATGTTTATTGAGTATTCAGTTCAGTAAAGGTTCATATTACCGTTTATCCTCCACAAAAAATGTATTTCAAAGAATACTCAAAAAATATTCCTGGATAAGGCAGGTCGAAGTTGACTGTTGAAACTGACTGTTGTTGTGGAATTGGCCGCGGTGGTGGTGCGTCCGACTCATGATCGGAAGGTCGTGTGTTCGATTCCCGCCTCGACCAGATATTTTTCTCGAGAGAATTTATCTGGTTGAAGCTGGAATGATTCTGCAACCGAGTTAGGAATCACACGTTAAAAGGTAAGACCTCGTTAGTCCTCAGCTCGCACAAGTTTCTCAACTTCTGAGAGTTGTCGTTCGTATGGGGGCGGCAGCTGATTAACGGAAAAACAGATTTTAAACATATTTAAACATGAAGTCAGAGGTCATCCCCAGAATGCTTTGACTTAAATATCTGTTTAAAATCCGTTTTTCCGTTAATCAGCTGTCGCCCCCATACGAACGACAACTCTCAGAAGCTGAGAAACTTGTGCGAGCTAAGAACTAACGACGTCTTACCTTTCAACGTGTGATTCCTAACACGGTTGCAGAATCATCCCAGCTTCAACCAGATAAATTCTCTCTTCACAATACAGACAATTGTGTGTGTTTACCAACTACGGTGTCTATCCAGAAATATGTGAAGAGAAGGTAAGTCTGAAAAGATACCCATGGCTGGTGTGGTGTGAAAGATCAAAGAGATAGCCAGGCAAGCCTGTCTCTATTCATTAGAGCTTCACATGAGATGTTTGCTGTAAAGCTTACGTCCACAAGCAAATAATTCATGTGAGATCATTGGCCAAACAACCAACACATATATCCACTCCCTGTCACCATCCTATCTCAACTGCATATTGTAGTAAAGCTGTCCTCAAACTTCGATTGAAAATAATTTTTATAGCCACTCCAACTTATAGCTCTTGAATGAAGATATCCCACTATTGGTTTTGGACCCGACTTGACTTTGTATAGAATGTGTAGATGATCTGAACAGGAAGGTTCATTACATACTGTCCAGCGCCATATCTTGTTTATCGTTTACTCGTTTATGAAATAATATGCCAAAACTGATGTAAAAAGTATCTTTACTCACAAATGCATTTAATAAGACATTATCTATGAAGGTTTATCCCTTCATGTTTCATTTAACTGGAATGACAATAAATAAATAACTTCATTTGTAATACTCTCATGATAGCCTCATGCTGCCTTCGCCACATATCCATAGACATATCCTGTCCACCAAAAAAGAAAAGAAGAAATCAGCAAAAAGAACTTGCACAAGGATGATCCGAAACTAAAAAAAAAAATAATATTTACACTTGAAAGGAATATTTGGGATATACTAACATCTGGTGGAAAATCTATAATTTCAAACTGAGCTGACAATTCAGGAACAATTCCCAAGGTGAGAGCAAGTACAACTCCTCCCGAACCCAAAATACTGTATAGTAAAGCTTTGTTCTGCCTAAGGCTTTCCATATAGGGATTACCCTAAAATAAAAGTAAAATTATGAAATGTTGATGATTTCAACGGATCTCTTGCGAGTGATGAAAATAGCACATTGAGATTTTTTTTTTAAGAAAAGCAGCACCTTCCCATGACCCTCTTGGATTCTTATGCTTTTTGTGGGTAGGTTGCCTTCCCCTAGGTCGGAATGCAGTGCCAAATTTTCAGATCAACAATTTTTTTCAAGAGCTAGGACAATTTTTTATTTTATTTTTTTTCGCTTTTTGAACCTATTTCTCAGAACATATTCATATTTCAATAGTAAAAATTAATCTAGACTGAAATTGCTGGGTAACACAAATGCAAATCCCCATTGGGCGTAAAACAAATAATAAAAAGTCCTAACTATTTCTTAAAAACTATTCGTATCTCAATAGCAAGAAATGATCATCTAGACTGAAATAGGTAAGTAACATAAATTTGGGGTAAAACAAATAATAAGTCATAAAATTTTTATTTTATTTTCATGATAAATTGCAGTACTACTCACAATCGTCCATTTAGAGGACACCTAGACAAAACAGGGTTGTATAAGATAGACCTTAGCATACGCAAAAAGAAAAAGATATGACTTGTCATGTTTTGTGCAAATGTGAGGCACTGGATCCCAGAAGGCAACCGATTTATGGATAATTAAAAAATTACATCTACAAGAATATGACGATCATACAACAAATGTCTTGTTCAAACTAGTACAATGAACAAAATTGTTGGAATGAGTGTTATTAGAGATGGGAGGTAAAATGAAATGAACTCCTAAGGCTACATACCGGATACTAGGAAGAAACGGGTATGTAGGGTAGCTCCCAATTAGAGGAAAAAAAAAGGACATGCTCAGACTAACAAGTGAAAGCAATCGGTATTGCTGGATTTTAGTTACATCGGGTAGCTAGCTACATTCATTTTCAAATCACCTACAGGAAAATCTCAAGAGACTGACATAACTTTTAACAAAGAACATTTGTGACTGTTTAAATTTTTTTGATACTTTCGTATTTATTTTTCTGGCAACTAAAGGTGTTCCTGTTGATAAAATAGATTTGCTTGAAATGATGGGAACTTGAAACTTAGACCTCTACTTTCACCATCCAATGAAAATATTTCTCTAGCAGTCTTATAAAAAACAACCATTGTTAATTTTACCAAACAAACCATAGCATTAGTGTGATGTAGAATTTCAGGATCAGTAACTCATTCAGTCATAAAAGAGTTAACATCAAGATGTTTTTTCACACCATACGAAACAGAATATCTTTTTCTTTTAAATAGAAGCTTTGGGTTCAATCGATTTCATAGTTTTCTGAGTAGTCAACACTTACCGAAGTTCCACCCCAATCATCCTAAAATGTAAAATGCTGTGAACTTTTGACAGTTTGGTAATGAAAAATCAGCATCTATTTGCGTCAGACCCGCAAACAAGATATTTTCGGATTTCTCGTTAAAATGATTTTATGAAATCACATCCTAAACTATAGTTCATACCTTGGATAAAGTTACAAATAAGTACAAAGTCAAGGTATCAGATTAAGAATTTGTGTAAATGTGGAAAAAAATAACATTCAAATACGTGTATCTTACAAAATGATATAGCACAGCATTACTTTTATTATTATTGTTGCATTCCTCACAAATCAAGAAAATAAAACTACAGGGAGTTTTCGAAAAAGGGCCCAAAAAGTTAAAAAAGTCCCTCAAGCTCATCCAAAAATGTTTTTATTGATCTGAAAATTTGGCTCTCCACCCCACCTACGAAAATAATTAACAAAAAATCATGGTATGAGAAGGTGCTACTTTTCTTAAAAATATTAATCTTTCATACAATCTTTATATCACAACTGAGTTTTTTGTAGTTTTTAATATTTTTGAGAGATTCTACAACCAGCATTCAAGATAATTTTTCCCAGTTAGGTTTTACAGATATTCATTTAATCACATTGATATGGATGATACAGATACTCTGTCTGATATGGACAAACAGAAATGAATCTTAATCATTATGTTTGCAAAACGAGTAGGAGACAATGAAAACATATCTAGTTTCTTGACTTGCAGGCGTTAAACATAGTCATTATTACTTTCAGTCAACATCAAACATACTGTATAATAAAAAACACAAATAACAATATTAATATATCACATGAAGTGCCTGAAAGTAATTTCTATGCATGATCTACAACACATCTTTGTAAAGAACTTATTTCGAAAATTAATTGCTTTCTTCCTTTCTTTAGAAGTTTCCCACATTTTTTTGTAAAAAGATGGAGAAGTAGAAAGCCAAAATTATTCTCTCCCAAAAATATACCCCTCTTAATTCAAACAAGATTTCTATGGATGGGATTAAACGTCTTTACGTACTGTCATCGTGACAAGAGTAGATTTGACTCATTCGTGACATAAAGCCATAATGTTATTAATTAATTGAGTGCTTCATTTTGCAATGTTATCCAGGTTGGTGCTGAAGAGGCAATAGGACAAGTTTCTTATTATGAAACATCAATGTCCGCCATTGAAGAAGACAGTATTCCATGTAAGTTCAATTTTATCTCTTTCATATTGTATAACAATCCTGTGAATGATATCAGATTCATTTCCATAACGAATGTTTGGAGTACAAAGTGAATAGGAAAAAGTGTTGTTTGTATAATTCAATGTGCATATAATAGTAGTTGTTTTGAGAGGGATTTTTCTTCCAGTTTATGTCTGAAAGTAACTTCTACGCATGATTTACACATCTTCGTATAGAGTTTATTTTGGAATTAATTGCTTTCTTCCTTCTTTTGGATATTTCCCACATTTTGTTACATAAAGATGGAGAAGTAGCCAAAACCTTTCTTTCCCAAAAATTATTCTCTCCTAAAACTATACCCCTCTTAATTAAAACAAGACATTGATCTTTTTAGGCAAAATATGACCCATATTAAAAAAGCGTATTTTATAAAGATTTTACTGAATTAATACTGATGTATTATAGTAGGCAAAAAAAAATGAGTTTGGAAGAATATGCTTTTTCAAATTCAACTGACAATATTTGGTCAATTATCAAAGGTTATGGAATTGATGAGCTAGAAATAAAAACCTGAAAAATATCATATTATGTCAGATTTAAATGAATGTGATGGAAGTTCAATGAGCTGGATCAATAGACTACATAGTACTACTAAATCACATTTCTGGGCAAACGAGAAGCCATTAGTTAGTTTGACACAAAGATGTAATCTAGTTCAGAAATGAGTACAAAGATATGGTGAATCTTTATCTCCATATTTTCATAAAAAAAGTTTGATCTTTGCCAAAAAACAATGATTCTGATGAATTGCAACATGATCATCCCGAATTCAACAAAATAATAGAAAGTATCAATAAATTGCAGACTTCTTACCCTATAATTTATAGCAAAAGTGGCAATTTGTAATGCCATTGAAATGATATACACAGTACTGTTTATGATGTTTGGTTCAAATAATTTGTCTTTTTCTTCCTCTGTCAATGCTTCAACAGGATTGGTTACATTAGCTGATTTTTCTTCGCTAAAAATATAAAAATCTCAGTATTTTTCTTATTCAACAAACTCTTCAAATTACCTTGGAGTCCTTGCTTTGGCTTGTTGGACAAGAAAAATTAGACACATAAAATGTACGGTGAATTGCAGAATTACAGTCAACACTGTATAAAAGTTGAATATATTCGGTAGAGGTCGCTGTTTCGACAAGACTTTCAAAGGCTAAAACAAATACATGAAATTGAAAAATCTCATCATCTACTTTCACACCAAGGAATCAGTACATTTAATAATTCAAATACTCAGAAATTTACAGAGATAATTTCCTATAATAATATCTGTGTTAGTATTTCTGAATTATAAATGACAGTTGAAGTAAAGTTAAGTAAAAATATGAGCCAGTGGTCTAAATTATTTAGTATACATCTCCATAATCCTTCTGCATTTAAATTATTGTTCTACCATTCTGTTTTTTCTTAATCAAAATGAAATAAACAGACTACAAAAGATGCAGAATCGTGCTATGCGAATAATCTTACAATGTTCGAGGATAACACCGACAGCAAATTTGTTGCAAACCCTTTAATGGCTACCAGTGAAAAAACTCTTTGAGTACCAAACACAATTTTTATTTTCAAAATCAAAATTGGATATTCACTTGTATATTCGCTATTCAAAAGTAAACTTAAAACTGAATTGCTCAGTCAACAGTGATCCAAACATAAACATATGTATTTAAATATTATCCTAAAATTGCCATTTATTTTTTGTAATGTTTCTTTTTTTTCAAACGTGGTTGAGTGGAAGAATAGCGTTTTGCTAAACTCCGCCACGTAAAATAAAGACCATTTATTATTATTATTATATCTACAGAATAAATTAACTTATGTGGCTGAAATACATGAATATAATACAAGAAACAGAGACAATATAAAAGATGAAAAATATTTGTTCAAATAGTAGACATAATTCTTTACTTTATAAAGGAGTAGATGGTTTCAATGACCTACCACAAGAAATTAAAGACAAATATATTCAAAAACCGATTAGTAATTAGTACGCTAGGGTATTAGCAAAACGTGTCTAGAAATTTAACTGTTTGTGAAAACTGTCCTAATTATTATCACGGACAGTGTTATTAATTTTCATCAAGTAACGGATCAGTCCAGTCATAAAATATGTTTAGTTGTTCTAGAAGCAAGAATAATTGTAAATGAAGAAACTCATTAAGTTTTTCTATTTTCAACATTGATATGGAGAATATACTATTCATTTTGAAGTTTGATTAATGGGTGAATAATTTTTGTGAAAAATATAATGTATTCTAGAAGCAAATTAATTTTGTGTGATAATTTTCATTTTTTACCTTAGATCTTGAAATGAACAAGAAACAAGCAGCCAATAATAGACCCTGTAATGTTGCTTGAAGGTCTCTAAGTTTGATTCCATCCAAATATAGAACAGACTGAGTGTAAGCTAATATCAGAGCATTCAGGGCCAAAATTTTGAACATTTGCAATGTGGTGACCAGTGTACATCTTCCTTGTTTTATTATATGGCAAACTGAAAAACAAAATCAAATAATAGTTAATAAAATAAGTAACCTTAATTGATTCTTACTCACTGCACATGATAGATGACAACTTGCTTGTAAATGGAGAAGCAATGCTCGCATCTCCGAGTTTCACAACTTGGAGTTCATCCTGTTCTTCAAGCTCTCTCATAATTTTGTCCATTTTAGATTGTATTCGTTCTCTTTGATCCATCATATTTCTTACATGATTCGGCCTAGTCCTCTGCATAGCTTCCTTAAGCTCTCTTTGCTTCCTTTCCTGAAGATACATTTAAAACAAATTATTTTACTAAGACAGTAATAAAACAAACTGAATGAGCTTAATCTTTATCTGATTTTAGAACAGAACACTCACATAAGATGGCTCTAAACAAGCCAATAAGTAAGGAAAAACTAGTACAAAATCAGAGTAATAAATAATGATATTTATTGATCTAGTAAAGTCATATAGAGACTTAGAATAAGTCAAGCGATTGAAAGAAGTATATTTGAATTGGGTCATAGAGCAAGATAAAACTATAACAAAATTATAATAATAATATTTATTGACACAGTAAAAAAAATCTGTTTCCCGCCTACGAACGACAACTCTCTAAAGTCAAAACTTGTGCGAGCTAAGGACTAACGAGGTTTTACTTTTTAACGTGTGATTCCTAACATGGGTTGGACGATGGGAAGTGAGTGAAGCAAACCACCCATGTCAAGCCATCAAGCTACCGGGCTACTGTTACTTGTGTTATATATGTAATTAATCAAAATGGTAGCATATTCAAATATATAAAAATGCTTTATAGCTATATGAAACATGTTGATAAAATACAGTGGAGTAGAATTATGACTATACAAAGAATTCATTTAAAGTGTATAAGAGAATCTGTATAAGCATGTCTTTCAGTTTCAATGTTTTGAATAAATATTATGACTCTCTGGAAAAAATTTGAATTTCTACAAACTTCAAATTGTATTTTTGAAGCATATTTGACTTTGAATATTCTTACTTCTCAACAATCATATCACCCTGTGTAATAAAATGAAAACATATCCAAATGAGAATTCAATTTGCAAGACAGAGGTCGTACATGTGAAATAAATTATTAATTGTACTGTTGGAATAATATTAGACAAAATTGTTATTAATATCTTCGACAAAAAGGATAAATAATTTCTGTCATGTTAATGTCAGAAAAACATATTTTTGTTTATATCTTGAAGAAATTTTTGAATGATCCATATATTTTTTCAAAAGTTCCCTCATATACAGTTTTCATTTTTAAAAAGAAAGCCAAGAAATATTTGTTTCTAATTTTCATTTTGAATTTCATTTCATGGATAGTGGCTAATTCTATTCTAATTTATTTCAAATAATTACCTTTTCTTTCTCTAACCTCTCCCTCAGTTCTTTTGGATCTGGTAGACGTTCCGGAGCATTAGCCAATATGGCAACACCAACGTCAGCATGCTTGAGAGCTCCTACATCGTTTGTACCATCACCACACATCAAAGTCGTGTAACCCAAGCTTTTCAACTTGACAATTACGAATTCTTTCTGTTTGGGTGCGAACCTTGCAAATATTGTTATGTGCGGTAGAATGAGATTCAGGAATGCATTGTAGTTATTTCTAAGATAGTTCAGACCATCTCCTGTAATACAGAGATCATACTGTCTGACTAGATTTTTATAATCGTATTCAAGAGGTAGATTCTGAGTTTCATCAATGCTTTGCCATTCAAAAATTTCATTAGTTTGGGTCAATATCAAAGTAGGTTTTGGAGTGAATCTGAGTTCTTTGGCTACGTGGCAAGCAGTCAGAGGATTGTCTCCTGTTATCATAACAGCTTTGTGTGAGGAGTATTGAAGTTCTTCAATGACTGATTTAGAGTCAACTTTGAGCGGGCAAGATATGATCATAAATCCAACAAACTTGAGATCTTTTTCTACATCTTCTCTAGTCAAATCTCGAAGCTCTTGGCTGGAGAGTTTTCCAATATCCCTGTAACCTAAAGAAAGATATATTCCAACAAAATTCCAATATTTTTTTTTATTTCAAATTATTATATTTACATATTTCTGGAGTAATTTTAACTTGATAATTTGAAACATATATTTGAAGAGAAAGAATTTCATATAAAGTGGAAGATATTGGGTGGTTGAACATGATCGATAGAAGAGTGTTTTGCCTGAAATATATTCGAGGATGATAATAAACTATTTTATTATTTTTCCCCCTGAAGCCTTGATGTATTCGGAGAGCATGCCAGCATTACTAACCAATGCCTATTCTTCTTTGAAGAAAGCGATTATTGTGTCTGAGCAGACATAATGTCCCTTGAGCAGACATAATGAGTTGAGCCTCCAGCATTTTTTGGCCAAGATTTCTGCAGTACTGCAGCAAGCCAATATAATTTTGAGATTTGAGAATAGGGCAGGCACAGTGGCCTGCAGAAAGTCTGCGGAATTTGAAGAGAACATCTCGATATTTCATTCGTTTTTCCCCTCTTCTCGGATCATATTCACCTCACCTGGAGCTGAAAATTCCACGACGAATATCGACTTACTTTGTGGTCTGGGACTACATTAGGCTTATTAGGTTATATCAGTCTGGAGATGAAAAATAACTTGAGAATACCGATGTCTTGGCAACACTGTAGGAGTGCCAAAGGTGGTAACGAAGCACTCTTAGGGCTGCATTATTTTGATGGATATAGATTTCAACTATAACCATCATGTGAATATGTAAGTGGAAAGTGGTGAAGATACCATCGTGGCAGCCCATTATGAAGCCCTGAGATTCCAACTTCAGTTTACTTGACCCGAGAAAGCAAAGGTTAGCTACTATGATGAGCCGTCTTTGATGTTGAAGAAGATGCCATGTGTCGGCTCATCCTTATGTAGCCGCATGAGTAAAATAACCAGTGCAGCTTCAATGTGAGCCTTTTTCTGAACGGGTGACAAAATAACGTTCAACGTCCAAAATAAATCCCCAATTCCTGCTCTCTCATGGTCGCGGACCATCCAGAGAAGGGGATCCGAACTTCTGATGACTTTCCAGGCTCCATCCAGTACCCACTTTGTTATGTAGACACTTCAAACTCCACAGCCTATCTGTTGTCGGGAGAAGTATAGTCGTGGATCAGTCGATTTGGGATGCAAACTCCCATGGAGATGCATCATTTTTCGGGTGTTCACTTCGAGTAGATACAGCTCCCGAATCCACTTCACTTCTTTGAAGAAGTAGAGTAAAATCGGAATGACAAGCATATTTGTAACAGCGATTTCATTCTTCCATAACACTACTCATAACCAGATCTTTCTGAGTTTGTGCTGATACTTGCCTTCACAGAGGTTAGCTCTTGTGAGACACCTTGTTCCACCTTGTTATTATAATTATTATTATTATTGGTAAATTATAGTAATTCCTTTAGAGAAATATACATTTTTTAAAAATTAATCTAAAGTTTTGATTACCTAACGCCAAAACTCTGGCCCCTCGCCTAGACAAATCCAAGTAAACTTCATCATATTTTTTTGGCGTTTCTATAAACATAGACTTTAGTATTTCTGGAGCACCCTTAACAGTAGAAACATATATAGTCTCGGTTGAGCCAATACTATTGTACCCAGCTATAACAGACATCCTTTTTAGGGCTGAAGAAAAATGGAACCTGTAACAGAATTATACAATATTTTGAGTTGAAGGGGTTATATTTTTAGGAGTGATTAATTTTTGGGAAAGAAAGTAATTCAATGTTTATATGAAAGTAGCTGTTTCAGGAGGACTTTCTTTCAGTTTCTGTCTGAAAGTTACTTCTTTTCATAATCTACACGTCCATGTATAGAGTTACTTATTTTCAAATTGATTACTTCCTTCCTTTCTTTGGAAGATTCCCTCATACTTTTTTTGTATCAAGATGGAATAGTAGAAAACCAAAAACTTTCTTTTCCAATATTTTGAGCTTTTTGTCAATTCAATTTTTTCAACCCTTTCACTGCTGAAGTCAAGAAATGTAAACTTCAAGATGAAAAATAGCAACAAAAAGCTAAGGAGTAATCAAAAGAAAATCAGATTACCAGTACAATATCTTTTCTTGAACAAATTTTCTGTTAACATATGCTGTCCTATTCAGTTTCTAAGGAGATAACTTGCACAATGTATCTGCAGAAAAATAATCAAGTACCTGTGAAAAATTTTCATTCCAGGGGATTTCCCCTTCTTAGGAACAACAGCATCTGCTTTTGTAACATTCCATTCAATAGCATTTAGAGTCGCTTTTTCCAGAGGATCACCAACCAAACCCTCATCAAGATGGGCAAGGGAATGACAAGTGGCTAGTACTTGTACCGTTTCTAAAGGTAGATCATATACTGCAGTGACTGTGGAATCTTTTTCAGCCAAAGCCACTCCTTCTACAATTAAATCATCACTTGTAAGAGTTCCAGTCTTGTCAAAACAACAAATGTCTACTTTGCCTGCGAAAGGTATTCGAAATGGTTCGGTACAGAAAACACCTAAAAAAAAAGACACTTTCAATATTTTCAACATGTGTTCGGTTTTGAAGTAATTGTGAGGATCCTTATGTTCAATTGGTAAGAACTCAAAAACAGCATAAAAACAAAAATCACACTTCCTGACAATTTGAAAAATAGATTTTATATATANCTCTCATCAACAATACAGGAACCTCTGAGCAAAAGCACATCACAAGGTATCAGACTATCCCTATGTGATCGAGTTATAGAAATTATATCTCCTGGTATTAATTCACAGGTAGAGATTGTTCTCCATTTCCTATTACGGTACACCAGAATACCATACGGTTTGTTACCCATTTTGCGGATTTCAGCCATATTGCGTAATTGTTGCTGGACCAGAGTACATTCAAACAGAACTAGCATCACCAAAGTGAATAATGAATAATACCAAAAGTCATCAAGACACCACAGGGCAACACAAAAAACTTGGAAAACAAAAAATGGTGCAGTTGCTCGTTCAATGAAGAGTTCCATAAACTCGGGAACAACCATTTCCACATTGTTTTTTCCATAAAGTTGCTCAGCTGCTAGAATGTCTGCTTCCTCTTGAAAACCCTTGCATGCCATGTATTCGGAAAAACTATTATTAATGGGGAATTCCAATCCACGAAATGATTTTTTTTCATTACACCAAATATACTTTGTCTTTTGGAAAATGAACCAAAACGTAGTAATCTTTTCATTCTAAAATTTACATAATATTATATTATAAATTGATGGATGTAGGCGTTACTACGTGGTAGGAAATCATAATGAAAAAAAGAGAATTGAAACTTTCTGTTTTTTACCACTCTTATTTGTATTAGTTTGAAAATGTCCTTATAGGAAGAAACTGCAGTAATGTTAGTTACAAATAAAAGTGGTAAAAAACATAGAATTAAATCGCGCTTTCAATTGGAAATGCATAAATGCCATCGTTTTCGTTACTTGTTCCTTGCTAATTGATAACTGAAACTTGTTACCCTCTAATCGAGACTAAATAAACTCACCAATAGTGTTTTCTCACTATAACCAACCGTGTTTAGGAAACTAAAACTAACTACTTGAACTAAAAACTTCAACATGTTATGATACCTTAGTATGCTGTAAGGGAACAAGTTCAGAACTTCCATTATTAGGTGTGGGTATAACTTTCACAAGAGTAGCTTTGTCAGGATCTTTTTCCTAAAAAAGAAGATTATAAGCAAAATTGAAAGAGTATGAAAGAAATCCTTACTTTCCTGCATGAAAACAAACAATTTATATGAACGGACCAGTAACAAGCTAAACTACCCAAAATTTGGCATATTCCTATAATACCAACTCCAAGAAAACCACCCTCATAGTATTCCAAAAATCCATAAACTCCTAACCACAAGTAGAACCATGCCAAATAAATTACTATGAATGGTAAAACATAAAAATGAAATAAAGCTGGGAAACGAGAATGTAGAGAAACAGATTGTACCAAGTCATCTAATTTTGGTGTTACAGTCATTATTAATAAGGTTTTTTTTAATTTAACCCGTTGGTGAACACATATGTGATTTGATTTTTGACGTACTTGTTCAATCAAGATGCAGTCAGTGACGTCATATCATGTCTATGTCAAGATGTCACGTCATATTTCACGTCAATGTCAAACATCAAATCAAAATTATTTATTTATGCACTAGTAGGGCGGTCATAGATATTAAAACAATATTTATTATACAAGGGAAAAAAGTATTAGATTTCAGCTCGAGGTTGTGTTGTTTCCCGACGCGATGCGGGAGACAACACAACAGGAAAAACGACGATTTAATATTGAAAAAATTAAATTTCTACTTTAAATTTCTACTGCCCAATAGATGGTTAATCCCAGGATTACTATACCCTGTATTTCACTTGAATAGGAGGAGGTATTTGTATGTATGTATGGCATAGCAAACTTTCAAATATGATTATGAATTGAATTATTCTTAGATGTCTATACAGTCTCAAGTTTTTTCTGCACAGCTCTGCCGGGGTCACATACGTCATCGCTTCATGTCTGGCAGTCCGTCCGACTTTAGTTTACTTTTATATCTGTCGGGGCTGCTGAGATTATTTGTCACGGATATTCTAAATATTCGCGGAGCGTAACTGACAAGTGGCGGAATACCAGAAACTTTCTGAGTATTCTCTAACAAATACGGTATTTTTAAACCCATAAATAATCGAGATATTGATATTTTTTTACAAAACTCGGACTTAGTAATTTCGTTACAACACATCCTATAGAAAACTGACCATCAGGAAAGTTACCTATTCTGAAAATTCTTAAATTATAACTTCAACTCAAGATTTTTTTTCAGTCCAAAAAAACCTTTTTTTCAAATGTCTTTTATAAATTAATAACAGTTTTTTGTGTTTCCAATGTCTTCCCTGCATAAAGATTCAAAAAATGACGTTTTTCCTCATTCGCAACAGAATAAATGCCGCAGTGCGCAAGATTTTGATCTTAAATTTCATTGGATGATTACAAGCCACAATATTGAGTTTATATAGCATTGGGTGTTTTACTTAAAAAATAAATAGGGTGTTGGAAACTGTCATCTCAATTTGGTTAATGGTTGGGACTATTGAAGAAATTTTGAACAAATTGTCTGTAACATTCACTTAATCCCATTGAAGGTTTTTGATTGAAGATAATTTTCCATCGCTTGTTGTTCTCAAGTTTCACATTTCTGCATCTTATTCGGTACATGTCTATCATTCGAAACATAAAAAACTCCTGAGCCAACACTCTCTGATTCATTCCATTTTTGTACCTCTCGAAGTACATACAAATAAATATTTAATTTCAAGTAAGATGCCGAAGACGAATCTGAAAGTGAATCCCTAAGAGAAATAAAAAGTTGAATAGATTGGAACTCCAAGCATTGGAATCAGGAAAATTCAGGTAGGTATAGGGTTTTATTGCTTTTCAGGGTAACAGGAAGAATAAATAATTGAATATTGAATTGAATAAAATGGATTAACGGGGTCTTTAAGTCAAAAAATAAAAAATCAAAACTATGCTCTACATAAATTGACGAAAGAAAGTTAAATATTAATGTTTAATTTTCTTTCGTCAATTTATATGTTCAATTCATTGTTTTTTACTCGTTTTTACTGCCCTGAAGAAGCTTTCCGTTAGAAGCAAAAGCTTGGCAAAGTAGAGCAGAGTTTTGATTTTTGACTGAGAGACCCCCTTAATCCATTTTACTATACATTTCTCCAGTTGCTAATCAAGAAAGGTTAATGCAGTCAAGCTGCTGGAAAATATTTCCATGAAAATCAAAAGAGAAATAGATAAGTTTTATTCTGATCATTCTCATTTCGATTTCAATTTTAAGAGCGACCGGTAGACAGCTGTTTCAGCCTGTTGGGCATCGTCATTACCTTGCAGGCGGTCCTCGATTGAAGACAAAATTTGAATAACCAAGAAAAGTACTTGATAAAAATAATTGCGCAAACGCAAGGTGGTTCCACATATGTATCGCTTGCGTTTACGCAGTATGTTTCGTAGGTTAAGAAATAAAACTGTTTGATTCGAAATTTTGTACGTAGTTTTGAAAATGTTCTGTATTTGACTATTTGTCTCTTAATGTTTAAGTAAATATACTATCCAACGGAATACTTATTTTTACTCGATCAAAATGTTGAAAAGTTGCCCAGATCCAGTCGATGTTCAAGTAAGTTCAAATTACTGAAAAATAACAAGATTTTAATATCTTCTACAACTTTTAGGATATTTTGTTCAAATTGCGATGTCGATTAAAAGTATTTCATAACGAGGACCTCGATAGTTTCTCCAATTCCCCGAGCTTGATTTCCTGTGCCAGTCGATATGGATTACTTTTTGTTGGCACAAACTCCAAAACTTTGCAAGGTACAGATACATTACTTTTTTCATGACCTTACTTTAACTGTACCAATTTCTAGCCATACAATTAAATTGTACTGAAAGTTATTCTACTAAAGATAAAGACATCAATAACTACCCTCGAAGAAATTTGATCTTGCCATCTCCACCAACTCACATATGTGTGAACTGTGACAGCACAATCCTTGCCGTTGTGGTGCAGAAAGATGTTTGTCTAGTTGTAATATTCCATGATGTGTTGTCTTTCTATAAACAAACTGTGTCTGTTATAAAAGAGTTGAGGTTATCATCAACTCCAGGTGTAACTGTGCTGGAAGTGAACTGGAACCCTGCTCTACCATCAATATTTACTGCATGTAAGAGTGATGGTACTTTTGGAGTATATGAACTCAAAGGTAATTCAATTTTATGTTATACCTATAGTTAAAGCTTTATTATCTAATCTCTTAATGATCTATCTATCTATTATGATTTCTAATTTTGACGATTTCACTTTATAATCTGGTTGGGCATTCCAAATTTGATAAAGAGAACCCTAGTCTGCTGACATCTCTGAATATACTTATTCTCTACTACTTGAGGAAACAATGGCACTCACAATGTATGTATCTGTACTTTTGCTAATCCTTACAGTCTTGGTAAAATATCTGTGGGTTTCAATACTCTTGCTCTCATGTACTCCAATAAGTAGTGACAATTTGTTGTAACTTGTAGGAAATCGAACTGTAAACTCTACTGATCCAGGTTTTAATCATGAATATACAAACGATACATTTTATGTATTAACAATAACAATAACTCATTCATTCAACAACGATTTCTGAAGAATCATAAAAACAAGATCAATCAAAATGAAGTGAACATGGATCAACACTCCCACTCTTTGTTCACTTCGGAGACGTTACCCACAGACCTTGTCGATTTCTTAAAAATTTTTCTCGTGGTAAGGGTTTGGTTAAAATATCTGCCAACTGGTTTTCTGATTGGGTGTAAACAACAGCGATATTTTTTTCTTGAACATGATGTCTTATGTAATGATACTTGACATCTATGTGTTTTGTTAATTTGTGATGATCATTATTGCTCACCAAGTTTATAGCACTTCTATTATCAACAAAAAGTTCCGTTGGATTTGAAACGTCAACATCAATTTCTTGAAGGAACCTTCTCAACAATATTATTTCTTGTGCGGCATCCGAAGCTGCAATATATTCAGATTCTGTCGTGGATCTTGCAACACACTTTTGTCGTTGAGATGTCCATGTAACTGGACAACCTGATAATAAAGTAACATAGTCAATTGTTGAATATCTAGTATCCATGTCTCCTGCAAAATCTGCATCTGAATAAGCTTTTAAACATTCGTTGCTCCCATTGTATAGAATTCCATAACTTTTAGTACCCTTTAGGTATCTGAAATTAGTTTCACTGCTTCCCAGTGCTGCTTTCCTGGATTTTCAAAATATCTGCTAAATCTGCTCACTGAGAATGATATATCTGGACGAGTGACAACCGCTAAAAACATGAGACATCTTATAGCTTCTCTGTATGGAATATTTTTCATATATTCATTTTCTTCCTCATTTTGGGGGCTTTGAGCTGCATTCAGAATAACATTTGGATCGGCTGGTATTGTATTCGATTTACACTCTGACATTTGAAATTTTTCTAAACATCGCTGTACGTATCCTTGTTGACTGATGAATATTTGGTTTTTACTCCTATTCCTACTTATTTCCATACCAACAAAGTATTCAGCATTACTCGTAGTAATTTCAAAACACGAAGCTAATTTTTCTAAAATCATGTTGATAACATTCAATGACGTACACATGACAAGTCCGCCATCAACATATAAAGCAACAAAAATATTGAAACCATTGATTTCACTGTGAAATACACATCTGTCTGCTTCTAAGTGTTTGAAATGAAATGATGTCAAAAACGTAACAAATTTTGAGTTCCAGCAACGAGAAGACTGTTTCAGACCATATAGACTCTTGTTCAGTTTACACACTAAGGAATTATCTTCCGATTGGAAACCTTCTGGTTGAATCATAAAAATTTCATCATCTAAATCTCCATTCAGAAAAGCACTTTTGATGTCAAATTGTCGAATTTCCATGTCAAGTGTAGCTGATATGGCCAGAAGTATTCTTAAGGAGTCATATCGAACAACTGGTGAAAAAGTTTCAGAGAAATCAATGCCAGCTACTTGAGAGTACCCTTTTGCACACAGTCTCGCCTTATAACATACAATAGCTCCATCGGGCTTGCATTTCACTTTGAAAACCCACTTACATCCTATTGGTTTTCTATTATTGGGTAATGAAACTAAATCCCAAGTGTTATTTTCCTTCAAGCACTCCATTTCTTCAATCATTGCTGTCTCCCAGCGATCTTTTTCATTGCTTGTTACCGCTTCTTGATATGTTTGAGGTTCTATAATTGTTGCACAGGCAATTTCGAAATCTTCATAACGGCATGGTCGATTTATTTTACATCGATTACGAAGCTGTCTTTCAATCCGATTATCCCTTGAATGTGTTTCTTGGATATTCATTTCGGTTTCTTGTTGGATCAAGTTCTGTTCTGGTTCAGACGCAGAATCCGACTGAGTAATTTCTGGTATTTCAGGAATTGAAGGCGTACAATGAAAATTATGCGAAAAATATTTATCAGCACCAATCATGGACGAATTTTTGGGAATATTTTCGTTGATAATCACGTTTTGTGCCACTGATATTTTCTTTGTTACTGGGTCAAATAGACGATAGTTTTCACTGGTACCTTCATATAACCAACAAAAATCAATTTCTTCGAATTATTCTCTAATTTAGTTCTCAACTGTTTCGGTACATGAGAGAAGGCTTCACTGCCAAATTTCTTCAAGTGATTCAGTTTGAGCTGTTTGCCTGTCCATTTCTCAAATGGTGTTCGGTCTTCATCTGGTTTACATGGTTTTCTATTGAGAATATATACCGCTGTGTTTACTGCCTCGGCCCATAATGTTCTTGGTAAGAATGTCTCGTACAGCATAGCTCGAGCACTGTTGACAATAGTTCTGAGATCTCTTTCGGCTTTACCATTTTGTTCTGGTGTATACGGTGCACTGGTTTCATGAATAATGCTTGTTTTCTTGAAGTACTCATGGATTTGATGATTAACATATTCTGTCCCATTGTTGGTTCGAAATATTTTGATATCTTACCAGTCTGCCGTTTAACTGGTGTCTCGAACTCCACAAACTTTGAAAATACATCCGATTTGTGTTTGATGAAATATACTTGACGATATGAGGTGCATCATCCTTGAATAAAAGGAAATATTCTTCTTCACCAACTGAAGTTGAAGACATTTTTCCGCATACATCAGAATGAATGTATTCACCTGTATTGTAACGGCGTTGATGTGGATTCAGCTTTGAATATGATTTCCATCTGATACTTCCACAACTGGAAGTTTAGGCCATCGAATTTTTGGATATTGAAATTTTTCATCTTCTCCATCGTCGTTCCTGAATTGAATCTTCTATATTTCGAAGCAGCGGGGAATTACTTCAATGACAGTGACACTGATGTACGATATTTTCAATGTTCAAACAAAATTCTTATGCAATTAGATTTCGTGACCTGGGCCCATAACCTGTTGTAACTTGTAGGAAATCGAACCGTAAACTCTACTGAACCAGGTTTTAATCATGAATATACAAACGATACATTTTATGTATTAACAAGAACAATAACTCATTCAATCAACAACGATTTCCAAGGAATCATAGAAACAAGATCAATCAAAATGAAGTGAACATGGATTACTTCAACACAATTTATTAATTTGTTTTCTATGTAGACTTTTTTTTGTAATAAGGAAGTTATAAAATAGTAAGAAATTAAAGATCCCATTGACTATGGACTGGTCACCAGAGATAATAAATGTCTAATACCAATAGAATTCAAAAAATCAGTGCATATGGTTATTTATTTGAACAAAGAATCCAATTGAACTTATGATCCAGCACCAGAAAGCACTGTTTTTACCCATCATATCATCAGTGGTGCTAGATTGAACCACTGAACTGTACTAAAAAGGAAAAACCCCAAGGTTTTTCATGTCATTTATGGGATCAACAGAAGACTCAATCCTCGAATGTTAAAGATGAACGAGGCTCCCCTAAGGGACTGGATGCAAAGCCAAGTTTTGATAACAATCACCGAAAGATATTTGTTCTCTGGTCTCATCAGTGGTGTTAGGGTGAACCACTGAACTGTCCTAAAAAAGGACAAGCCGGTAGATATGTTTTTGCATAATTTAGAGATTCTTATATCTCACCCCCCTCTCAATGCAACTGTCTTACTGACAGGTGATTCCAATATTATTTGTTTGAATGATGGACTACAGTAAATTTTTTTAAAGTTACTTATTTATCTCTTTTAATTTGACAATGCACATTGAACTTGTGAATACTCATCAAGTCTTTTGGATTATGTACCTATGCTCAAATTTACCTGAGGACAGAATAAAGTTCTGAAGTTGCCAATGCAGGATCATCTGACCATGATGCCGTTCTTTGTAAGTGTTCCTTCAATTGAAGCAGTACTTCACATAAAAAACAAGATATATTGGTGAACTAAATTCTAACGAATTAGGGGCTTTTCACTGTTCTGTAGCCAAAAAAATTACAGAAAAAATTCATCTGGAATAAACCCAATCCATTTTAAAGCATATATCTATAGCAAATTCTTTCAATTATTCGTCCACCTCTGGAAATGAAAAAAGGAAATAATTTTGGACTTGAAGAATTAAAACTCTTTAGGGTGGGATGATATTTCAATCAAAATATTTTCTCATTTACCATGTGAAATATCAGAAATTTTGGCTGAAGCTATTAATATATCTGTAATAAATGGTATTTTCTATTGTACAAAGAAGGTAATCCTAATATACCTGGAAACTTCAGATCTATTTCTCTATTGCCAACTTTATCTAAACTTGAATATTACTGGAGTTTTTTCCCAACACCAAATCGTTATTTTTAACACCTCGACTCGTGTTTCGATCACCAAGTGATCATCTTCAAGAGGAAGATAAAAACAGTTTTTATCTTCCTTCAAGAAGAGAGAAGAGGAGATGAAAACAGTTTTTATCTTCCTTCAAGAGGAAGATAAAAACAGTTTTTATCTTCCTCTTGAAGATGATCACTTGGTGATCGAAACACGTGTCAAGGTGTTAAAAATAACGATTTGGTGTTTGGAAAAAACTCCAGTAATATTCATTACTACACCAAAGGTTCCAAACAGTACATCATAATTATCTAAACTTGTTGATAAAGTGATTAAAAACAATGCTAAACTTTCTTGATATATATCACATTCTTCATTCCAACTAGACAGGATAAAAATTGAGATCTGTCCTCGGTCCTTTTTCTCTTTTTACTGTTTTTTAATGACCTTGCTGATATTTCCATAGAAGATAAATTCACAATCTTTTCTGATGACACGTCTATACTTTGGCATAACAATAATGTTGATTCATTGCAAACAAATATTGAAAATGACTTGGAAAAAGTGAAGCGATGGTGTGATTCAAATTTGTTGTCTTTTAACCCATTTGTGCCCAACTCATCTTTTTCTTTAAAACTCAATTTTTTCTAGTTTTATTGTTAGATTTATGTATATTATAAAGTATTCTGGGCAGAATTTTTTTTTACAAATCCATGAGAAAAATACATGTACTTAAAACGAGTATAATGTGAACAAGTGAGGTAAAATGTTATCTATGAAATATTTTTATTTGCTACTAACATTACCAGTGTGAAATTGTATAAAACAGTTTCTTTCTAAACATAATGTTATGTTACATTTTTGGCAGCTCCATCTTGCACGTAAGTGGCATTGGTTGCATCTCAACTGTTTATCTAATTTTCTTGGGTAGTGTACTGTCCCATCATTCACCAATCTTCTTGGAATATTTCTTGAAGAAAGTCTAGATGACTGTGGTTTCCTGTAACTTCTTAGATAATGTCTTGTGATGGGCCGTGTGAAATCTAACAGATCAAGTTTTTTTTGGGTTGAAGAGAGCATATGTAATTTCCATCCGTTGACAACTGATAGATTTAGTATGTGTGTCCATAAAGGCCACCACCACTTTTTGTCTTGTACCGAGACTCTATAATTGATAACTCCCTGGTCTGAAAGGTCAACACCTCCTATCCCAGAATTGTAATTAGCAATCAGTCTTGGTTGGGGCCCATCAATTTTTGCTTGTTCTTCTTTAGACCATCGTTTTACTTTAGCTAGAGGCTCAATGCTGTCATAAGTAGTTCCCATTGTTACTGTATTATTATTTTTCCATCTGACGAATAATATCGAATTGCTGCTATCATAACTATAATCATAGTAATTACGCTTTTGTTTCTTCACTGTTTTTTCACAAGGTAAGGGGCAGTTTTTTGTTCGATTACTTCTTATAGTTCCGGTAGCCCTATATCCCAATTGTCTCAGAGTAGTTAGCAAACCATGACTCGAGAAGTAGTTGTCGAAAAAAATAACATGGTCCCAGGTTGTTCAATGACTTGAACAAGTTCTAAAATGATTTTGGATCCCAGAGGCAAATTTACGCCAACCACATTTGGAGAAGTCGATTTTGCACCACAGTAAGTGTCAAATTTATAACAGTATCCTGTAGATGAACATATCATGCAATTTTTGAAGCTGAAGCGGACTGGTTTTCCCCTGATGAATTGCTTTGACGAAAGATGTTCAAAATACTTCACCATAGCCTCATCAATCGAGAGCTTCTCATGAAATACGCCCCACTGCAAAAAGTTTTCATTCATTTTTATCATCAGGGGACGTACTTTGAACATTTTATCTGTTTTATTGAGTTCTGCATTGTTGGTCAGATGAAAATATTTTTTTATTTCATAATATTTGTTTCGACTCATACTTTCAGCAACTAAATTCAAAATGTACGGCATTTGCCAGTGGATTATAAGAACAATCGAAGAGCCTGGATGACTGCTGACATTTTTACCAAATTGGTACGTGGGTGGGATTGTGAACTTATGAAGAAGAACAAGAAACTCCAGCTGTTGATTGATAACTGTCCAGCACATCCCCATATTGCAGAATTGAAAAACATAACCCTGGTGTTTCTGCCTCCAAACACGACATCAGTTGCAACCCATCAAGGGATTATTCGATCTTTGCAAGCACCTTTTTGTAAAAACCTTGTCCTGAAAATGATTCAGTTTCTAGATGGCTGCGAAAGCAGCTTTATTTTAATGGGTCTGGAATATTGCAAATTACAAACAGGTACCTACATAATGTACTTTACTAGGAAGCATATGTGAAGTTTGGACTATTACCAGAAGATGGCAAATGAGAGTCGTGATATCATTTGAAATCTCTGAAACGAATTAAAATTGAAAAGAATAGCTGAAATTAACAATTATATTAAGCAAAAAAAAACCTGAAAAGAAATTACAATTAAATAAAAATTGAGCAAAAAATTGGAAATTGAACAAGTAAAATGAAATAGAAATTGAAAGATTTCAAGCCAAGTTACTTCACGATGTTTCGATGGTTAGTATTCATAATCGTTTTCGGGTGATGACTGGACTTATTCCTCCGAGAGATGTCTATAGGTCATTTGAGTGCTTTCACCTATTCCCTCTCTCTGCTTCACCGGTTTAGCGGGTAGTGGCCCCGTATCTCTAGGTTACCTTGGCTGAATGCGTCGTTGGACAACATGGATGCAGCTTCTTTGAATTTTCTCCTAAACCAGTGTTCCTTCCTATGGATGATCTCAGCTTGGAACCACTGTGGGTGTTTCTTGTGCTCGGCAATGCAGACTTTCCATGGGCTCTTAGTTTCTCCGATGTAGGATTTGCCGCACTCACAGGGTATCCGGTAAAAGCAATTCTTGGAATCGCAGTTTGGTGGCCGCGTTTGGTGTTTCCGGATCTAAAGCAGGTTCTGGTATGTTGACGACACCTTCATAATATGGAACCATGAGAATACGGAACACCTTTCTGAATCACATCTACAGCGTAAGATCTTCCATCACCTTCACAATGGAGAAGGAAGTCCAAAACGAATTGCCATTTTCAGACGTATTGGTGAAGAGGACCGACACTAAATGGGAAACATCTGTATACCGAAAACCCACTCACACGGGACAGTATCTGAATCACGAATCCAACCACTATCAATCTACTAAAAGAGGAATCATCAAGACTCTAGTAGACTGTGCTTTAAGGCTCTGCTTCTTGAGAAGGAACTAGGCATCACCAAAAAAGATCTTCAATGAAATGGTAGAACAGATTTTGGCTAAAAGACAGCAAGAGCCTCGCAAGGAAGAGAAGCCATCACAACCAGTGCTTGCACTTCCCTACATTGAAGGATAATCGGAAAGGATAAGAAGAATTAGGTCCATGGTACAACATCAGAACCTGCTTCAGATCCGGAAATACCATCTGTAGCACCCTCACGAAAACCAGGCCACCAAAAGCAGACTGCGATTCCAAGAATTGCATTTACCGGATGAGTGCGGCAAATCCTACATCGGTGAAACTAAAAGATCATTGAAAGTCCGCATTGATCAGCCAAGCCAGCGTAGAAATACGCAACATATGGAAACTCATCATCAAGCGAAAAATTACCAACTCGGCAATGCAGACTTTCCATGGGCTCCTAGTTTCTCCGATGTAGGATTTGCCGTACTCACAGGGTATCCGGTAAAAGCAATTCTTGGAATCGCAGTTTGGTGGCCCGGATGGTGTTTCCGCATCTAAAGCAGGTTCTGCAGGTTGAGGTATGTTGACGACACCTTCATAATATGGAACCATGAGAATACGGAACACCTTTCTGAATAACATCAACAGCGTAAGATCTTCCATCACCTTCACAGAAGGAAGTCCAAAACGAATTGCCATTTTTAGACGTATTGGTGAAGAGGACCGACACTAAATGGGAAACATCTGTATACCGAAAACCCACTCACACGGGACAGTATCTGAATCACAAATCCAACCACTATCAATCTACTAAAAGAGGAATCATCAAGACTCTAGTAGACTGTGCTTTAAGGCTCTGCTTCTTGAGAAGGAACTAGGCATCACCAAAAAAGATCTTCAATGAAATGGTAGAACAGATTTTGGCTAAAAGACAGCAAGAGCCTCGCAAGGAAGAGAAGCCATCACAACCAGTGCTTGCACTTCCCTACATTGAAGGATAATCGGAAAGGATAAGAAGAATTAGGTCCATGGTACAACATCAGAACCTGCTTCAGATCCGGAAATACCATCTGTAGCACCCTCACGAAAACCAGGCCACCAAAAGCAGACTGCGATTCCAAGAATTGCATTTACCGGATGAGTGCGGCAAATCCTACATCGGTGAAACTAAAAGATCATTGAAAGTCCGCATTGCTGAGCACAAGAAACACGCACAGAACAAACATCACGTGGTCCCAAGCTGAGATCATCCACAGGGAGGAACACTTTTACAGATTCTTTCAGGGATTTCAAATCATTTTATATCATATTAGACAATGGAAGTCCGAATTAATGAAATCAAAGACGAAGGATACTGGATATATTTCTAACATAATTATCGATAGATGAAAAGGCTTTTCTTAAACATATATTTATTCTCCTAGAGTAAGTTTTTTAAATGAATGGGTACTCTAAACAGGATATTCAGCAAGAGATTCGTCCTAAACAAAATATACGAGAAATTATGGCAAAACTTTGCAATGGTTACAGACAGATTATTAAGTCATTTGACTTTTCTGAAAATTTATACATTTTGTTCTTAATTTTGTAATAACTTCAGAGATGCATAAAATATTTGTTTATCTTACCTCAGAAGATTTCAATAATCTAAGATAAATAATTTTTATTACTGTGCACTGGTAATAAACGTTTTCTGATATGAAACTACATAGAGTCTACAGATAAATAACAGCAACCTCTTGTACACCTTTCGAAGCAACAACGAGTTCTCAAATATATTTGTGAAATTGTTCATCTTTTTTTGACTGGCAAAAATCATAATGTTTCCTTAACCTTAAAATTCATAACATAATTTCAATATGACTTTCAATCGGTGACTATGTTTATGGAAAAATGTCCCCTTATTTGAAAAAAAATTGAGATATGAAATGTAGTAATGAATTCTCTTTTTTTTGCAAGGTAATGCCATTGATATCAATGAGCTTCCCACTGCTGCAGAAACTACCTGTTTCTGCTGGAGTCCAAAAGGAAAACAGATTGCTGTGGGCTCGAAAAATGGTAAAATCACCCAGTACAAGCCTGATCTCAAAGCAGTAAAGGTTATTAACGAGCCTCCTCTGGGAAGTCCACATTCTTTGATATCCTTACAGTGGGTGTCCAACTATCAGTTTATTGGAGTATATCACTCTTCAGAACCAGAAGGGCAATCAAAGCTGATTGTAGTAGATGCTCCCAAAACAGGTGAAACTAGCTATACAAACTACGATGACGTATGTTATAGTGGAAACAGTAGGATTCCACAGTTCTACATGATAATGCAACAACATTGGTAAGTAAAAAAAGACACCATTTTTGCAATATGAATATTTTTTGTGTATATGCAAACATTCCCCAGAACATAATGATCTGATGTGACTCTGAATATAACCATTATATGCTAACATTGCAGCCTCAGTGGATATATTTTGTGTAATTACTTTCAGGAAATGACAGTACCTTGACATTTGTGTTGCCACTTTATCTATGTGGCTCTTCCAGTCCAATTTTGTGTCAATTATTATTCCAAGAAAGGAAAGTTGGGTCACCGGTTCTAAAATAGTTACACCATCACTTAAAGTATTATGTGTGCCGTTTTGGGTGAAAGATATGATTTGTATCTTGTTTTTGTTCAGTGTGAGATTGTTTTATATTTGATACTTGATAATGGGGTCAAACCCGAAACCGGTCATATAAATAAAATCTACCAGTGGTATTTAGACAAAAGTGTTTTTATTCATTTCATTCAAGTGTTCATGAATTACCATAAAAAAAAACAAGTCATCAATCACACATATGAGATTGTGTGATGTAAAATACTCCTCCAGAATCTTTAGCATGAAAAAGGTATTTGCCTGTAGGTAGTTCTGATCGGTTGAACTGAAAACCACAGAACAGTCATCGGCATACTGAACCATGTATTCATCAATAACTTCTGGCACATTGTTAGTGTGAAGAATGTATAGTAGTGGGCCCAACACTGACCCCTGAGGTACACCTCTTACAATATATAGCATTTCTGATTTCATCAGATTTCCATCAGTATCCCTTTCAGTAACACATTGCTGTCTATTTTTCAAATAGGACCGTAGAACGACAATTTTGTGATCAGTAGTCTATGGTCAACACTGTCAAAAGCCTTGGGCAAGTTGAACCGTGTTTCGGCTTTGATTTTGAAACAATTTTTAACAACTTGTAGCCATACTTTTCCGTTATAGCTCTGGAAAATAACCTCAAAATCAAAACTGATGTTTGGCAGCGTGAGGAAAGACTGGAAATTCTCAGTAATGTGATCTTCGACACGATGTATGCTCTACTTTAGTTGCCCTTTGAAGATTTCGGTTATCGGTATACTGGCAAAATTGGTCATTTTGTTTACATAGTTTACATGTTTATATAGGTACATACCATATATATATATATATATATATATATATATAAACTATGAAGTGCCTNTAGCGAAACATATTATTTTGATTAAAGAACAATCTGGATTTAGGGAATCCCATTCATGTGAAACTGCACTGCAATTTCTAATCTCTCATATTATAGGTGTTGTCTTTCTGGATTTCAAAAGGGCATTCGAGACGGTCAACATTGAGTTACTTTTAATGAAATTAAATTAGTATGGACTAGATTAAAAAGTATTGAAATGGTTCACAAATTACCTCACATATCGGAAGCAGCTAGTTAAATATAATCAAGTGACATCCAGTACTTTAAATGTGATTTCTGGAGTCCCTCAATGATCAGTATTGGGTCCACTGCTATTCTTGCTGTACATAAATGAGATTGTGATACATGTTCAAAGGTGTAAGATAAAACTGTTTGCCGACGACACTATGTTGTACTGTTCTGGGACAACTAATGAAATCTCAGAATGTTTGACTGAAGAACTATTAAATATAAATGAAACAGTCCAACTGATGAAGCTATCGTGTAGCAAAGCACAACTTGAATAAAATGTATAGTGAAAATTCTATAATTATTATCATGGATGGTTTTATATATTCATCAAGTAACGGGTCAGTGTATTGAGATATAGAATTATTTTAAGGTTTAGCTAATTTGTTTATTATTTTATTTCAGGAATCTTCTGATGGTAGCATCCTCTAATAGTACAGAAATAGGAGTTCTGGGCTCTGTAGCTGATACCTGGACCCAGTGGATAATTTCTGATTCGGCAAGGGCAGAACTCCCCTTGGATGCCAAGAAACAAGACACTCTTCCCGTTGGGTTCGCTTTAGATATTAGCCCATCTAAACCTGTGCCTTGGGGTGAAGGAACCATACCTCCTTGCCCATATCTTTTGATTCTCTCACATCAAGGAATATATAAAAATAGAACCTAAGTTAATTTTATAACAATGCATTGATTTGAGAAGGTAAAACCAATAAATAAATCAATATGTAGAATCCAAAAAATTACAATAACAATATAATTACCATCAGTTTTCGAAATGATAAATAACAATCTTTGAAAAGAAGCAACGCCCCGTTTATTTTTGAAACAATTGACGGAAGACCACATTGACAGCACTTCTGCAGGTAAACTATTCCATAGAAGGGAGCTGATTGAATCATAAGTGTTGCCAGGAAGAAGAACGCAAATTCTCATATATTTGTGTCATATGTGTTTATATTTCCAGAGTCCTAGGTTATGAACAATCTCCATTCAAAATGCTATAAATGATATGAGATCTCCATTAACATAACAAAAAAATACTGATTGAACAACATGGCTTTCGGGTAATATGAAATTATTACTTCAAGGTCATTATGAGATGTGACATGTTTCAATTTTTAATTTTCAATAATTTTCAAGTAATTTTCAATGTGGTTGTTTCTATTTACATGGAGGATAATACATTTGTCCACATTAAGATCTTATTGCAATTTGTTGTACCAAAGCTAATAGACGATTTCAAATCATAGTATGTGACCTAAGGAAATATATAATTTAATGATTTCTTCTTTATTTTGTATACAAACATGATACAACAGGGAATCCCACGCAGATCCCTGAAATATCTTTTTGCTTCTTATTCCCCTCACTTGGCCCACTCTGTACATGGTGGTACTAATTCAGAAGTCTAATTTTGTGGAGAGCCTTGTGTGTTCCATTTGTGGACATGTCGCTTCAGCTACTTCATTAGCATCATGTATATCTTTCGAGCGGGCTCACTACTTTCGTGAGAGTGGCTAAGATTTTAGTTCACTCAATGTGCCCAATAGTACTGCAGTAGGAAAATCATCGATTCGGCTTCCCACCACTTTTCCTCTAAATCTAACGATTGAGCCGCTTGTGAGAGATCACTGGGAACCAAATGTAGGCATTAGCTCTGTAGATTTACGTCTGAAACTGACAGCAGATTCAAGTTCTCTTTCTTGGTTGCTTTCAAGACGTTGGTCCGGTTTTGTACAATTTGCTCAGATAAAGCCATTATTTTTGTTCTTCATTTTCTCAAATTGTAACTTTGTAGTTATAAGCACCTATATTATTGGGAAAGAAAGTTTTTGGCTTTCTACTACTCCATCTTGTATCAGAAAAATATAAGAATCTTCCAAAGAAAGGAAGGAAGCGACCAATTTTTAAAGAAATAACTCTATACATAGATATGTAGATCATGCAAAGAAGTAACTTTCAGACACAAACTGAAAGAAAAAGGCCTCCCGAAACAGCTACTTTCATATAAACATTGAATTACACAAAAGAAAAATTCTTTCGAAACAAATGCTTTTATACGGACACTGAATTATACAAAAAAAACTTTTCTCTACTCAGTTTGTATTTCAAACATTCGTTATGGAATTAAATCAGATATCATTCACAGGATTTCTACACAATATACTAAATGAAAGGTAAAAATTTCACTTACATAGAACACTGTCATCCTCACAGGTAGAAATCGATGTTTCGCTGTAAGACACTTGTGTTATAATGTTATCCAGATTGGTACTGAAGAGCCCTAAGGCAAGTGTTTTATGGCAAAACATCGATATCTACCAGTGAGGAAGACAGTAGTGTTCCATGTAAGTTAAATATTTACTTTTCATTTAGTACATTGTGTAGAAATCCTGTGAATGATATCTGGTTTGATTCCATAACGAATGTTTGGAAATTATTATTATAATTGGCAATGATAATACTCCTATAATGAAATTCACTTTCAGATACACTGGTTGTTCAACCTGAGAAGACATTATCTTCTGGAACTTCCCAGATGACTGTATCAAAAACTCCAATTTTCGGAACACCACAACAAGCAGTTTCATTTGAAGCAAAAAATGTTAATAGTCAATCTTTGATCAAGAGTTCCTTACAGCCTCAGACATCTTTGTTTGGATCTTCAGTGTCGAAACCAACTGCTTCCGAACATCAGCTGACCTTCTCAAATCCTGGTGATTCATTATTCGCTCCTAAAACTGAAACACAAGCACTTTTTTCTGGACAACCTTCATTTTCCTTAACCAAAACTTCTCAAGCATCCAGTTTTACAATAGGTGACACTGTCATAATTCCTGTTTCTAAAGTACAAACTCCTGAAATTACAAACAGCAAATATTCTTCAATTTTAGCCGCCCTCAACAATCCTACTTCTACACCTTCAACTCTGAACAAACCAGTCATTATTTCTGAGTTACCTCGTCATGTTTCCACTTCTATACCCACATCAACTCAAGTTAGTCCATTAACATCCACACCTCAGGCACCTAGAGATGAAGTGAAGGTTATAGCGAAACCTGCAAAACAAATATCCGATCCAAAAGAAACTGTTGATGAAAAGGTGAAACAAGAAACTGATGCTATCATAGCGAAAATGGTTAAAGATGAATGTTTAGCTTTGGAATTTGAACTAAAAGCTTTGCTACATCAAGGTAGAAAAGTTAACATCAATATTGGAAGTGACCATGAGAAAATTGAGATGTTGAAGCAAATGAAGTTATTAGAAGAATTTATTAAAGAAATTGTTGATATCAGTTGTGGAGAATATGCTGAGGTAATGTTATATTGCTTATTTTATAATTAATAAAAAATGTTACTTTAAGGTTCACAATCTAAAACAAAACCTTATACTTTCGTGGGCTTGGTACGAAGAAGCATTGTCGAGATATAATATTTCTAAAGATGAAACCATGACTCTTCTTTTGAAGTCACAACCTCTCAACTCTGCATCTGAAAAAAGACAGTCTGACATGAGAAAACTAATTTACTACCTGGAATCCCAACTTTCGCAGGTCAATAAGGCTCTGGATGAACAATGGGAGAAATTTCAGGTAATTAATACATAATCAATACATTGTTAATTTCATAAATGTTACTAATTTTTCAGGATTATGCTAAAAAAACACACCGAGTACAGATGCCCACTATGGAGGCTATTTTTCAATCCATGGTTAGCCAGAACGCAGTCCTACAAAAACAAGTAGGTATATGTCTGTGGACAGTAAAAAATCAATAATGATACGTCCTTATTGTGTGTAGGCTTTCACGGCCGGTATCTGATAAATCGTCCGGTATTTCTGGCTTTATTAGCCGTGGACTGTACGTTTTATACCTGACATTTCGTCTGCTACTCCGGCAGCAGTTAAAGTGATCTACCTTGCTTTGATGCACAAACTGAAAGTGTTCCTGGTTCTGTCGCGTCTTTCTTCATTGTGAACTGGAAAGAAATATATTCTGCTATAAATGCATTAAGGAACTCAAATTATAGTGATTTCTATCAAAATAAGCTTTATTTCCCAAGATTAGAACATCTTATTGGCAAAGTCTAGTAAAACGCAACACCTCAACACGTGTTTTGATCACCAAGTAATCGTCTTCAAGAGGAAGATTAAGCTAAATATACTTACAATGTTATCTTTATTTTTACCATAGATACCTCTTGTAGGTACCCGCGTCTTGAGTGTTTTAAATTAATATCACTATATTGCCTTATCTACTATGTGTCCTTATGTAATAGTACAGTAAATCTAATAATTAAAATATATTATTTTAACAAGCTATATAGTAACGAGGGTCCACCCTCGTTATTCATAATATTATTGTGTTAACTTATTTCTACACTCTCATAGGCATCTAGATGTCTGTTGTTGTTAATTTGTCTAACTAATCTTAGTGAACTAAAGTCTATGGAATGGTTTTGTTGCAAAATATGATGAGTGACTGCTGATTTTTCTGGTTTTCCATATTTTAGGTATGCTAAATGTTTCTTATATCTTATTTCAATAGATCTTTTTGTCTGTCCATAATATTTAACGTGTCGAGGTGTTAAAATAATGGTTTGGTGTTGGGAAATAACTCCAGTAATATTCTATAAAATAATGTTTAGAGACAAGAGCAGCGTATATGGACAGAACAATAAACAATATTAAGCCCAGCTAAACAAATACAAATATAAGTACATGCATATATAAATATTGAGTAAGTGTAAATATATAATGCTACGTAATGAACATGGATAGCCATTTCGTGTTGATTTCAATAACTTGTTTACACAAAGCTACTCTCGATAGAGCTTTGGTAGTGTTTGTCCACACTCCTCCAAACAAGGAATTCTTTTACTTTCTTTCTGATTTTTTTTTCATCATGTATTCGCCTTAAATTAATGGGAAGGTGATTAAATAACTCAACTAACTCCTTGCTATTGAAAATGATAGTTGTTGTTATGTGCTCAAATGCTCATGTTCAGTTTGGAAAAGTTGTTGAGCTTCTGTTGGCCCAGTTGAGAGTATTACCCATAAACTTTCTAGTCCTGAGACAACTGAAAAATGCCATCGTTGAGTTACATTAAAAATTACATTCACTATTTCTCTCTATAATCTCCTATGGAGCTTTGATTTGGAGCAACTCTAAGAACTAATTTTTCAAAAGATTTCTAGAAACTAATAAATTGACCAGAGTTTGACACCCACTGCCTTCAACTTCGTTAAAGACATAATATCTGTTCTCCCGGATTCAACTGACAATCCCATAGATCGCATGAGAAATTTATCAACACCTGGCTGTTCCTTTTTTCTTGATCCAGTTGTTGAAAGTGAAGTATATTATGCAATCTTATCCCTCAAGAATTCATCAGCTACAGATATATATGAACTCAACAGTATGTTATTCAAAGAAAATGCCGACCTGATTACCCTTCCCCTCACAATCATCATAAATTATAAATTATTGTTTCACTTCTGGTGTATTTTCTGAGTCTTTCAAAATTTTTAAAGTTCTACCTTTACTAAAAAAAAAGGAAATGCGATTGTTCAAATAACTTTTGATCCATTTTCATTATACATATGCCCTCCAAAGTAATTGAAATAATCTTGAAACACCAGCTATACAAATACTTTGAAAACAATGCATTATTTGACAATGCTCAATTTGGTTCAGAGGCGGTAGCTCAACAACGAAAGCGCTCTTGCAAGTAATAATGGACGCAGTTGAAGGTCTTGAGGAGATTAAGCATACTAGACTTACACTGTGCAACCTAACCAAGGCCTTTGACTGTGTATCCCATGAAATACCGATTAGCAAACTCAATCACTATGAAGTAAGAGATATTCCACTGAAACTATTCGATTCATATTTACCTCAGAGAAAACAAGTTATGTCTATTGATTGTGTTGTGTCTGACCCAGGTAATATTGAAAATAGTGTCCTTCAAGGGTCTGTTTTGGGACCACTGCTGTTTATCATTTACATTAATAATTTTCATCACTTTTTACTGCCGAATAAATCTGTCTTATTTGTTGATGATACTACCATAATAAACTCCGACAAGAATATCAACACTCTTAAACATCCTGCAGTGGATAGTGGAATTGATGGATAATAAATGGTTTACAGCAAATATATTGAATCTGAATCAAGCCAAGACACAATCTTTAACCATTTCTTCACATATAGAAGTCACATAAGGTTTATCAGTGAAATTATTGGGAGTACATATTGAGAAATTATTGGGAGTACAAAACCGCGAAGGTTTTGGAAGGTTGCGCGGCTTCTTCAACCTTCCTGGGGTTCCCCTAATGGAGGTGTTCAAGTGAAGGCGAGGAGGGTGCACTTATAGTTGCTGCCACTCCTACTCTTTCGCTCTCTTTCTCCTTTTGGTCTCAGCGCCGCAAATGCGCCGCCTTTGTTGTATTATATCACGAGGTGAGATTGAGGTGAGCACTTCTGTCCAGCCTCAGGATTAGTTTTTGTTGTGTCTGTTTGTTTGTTAGTTTCATTCATGTGTGTTCCCACGAGTAGCACCTCTGGCAGAACCCCGCATTATCAGAGGAAGGCTGATAACAATGAGATTTCGCCCGGTTCCCCAAAGGGATCATTCGTAACCGCATATCACCCTGCAGCCATTCAGCTGTCGGCATGATTCCTTACACCTTAGCTTGGGTAAGCTGGTTCACGGTGACATGTTTCGCAAAGGCTTTTGGGGAGTTTTAGTTCCCCTCACCCTTCTTATTTCTGCCACTGGCCAGGAGTCCTGCGATCCCATCCGTAAGGCCACATATTGGCTTCCCGGACAGGCCCCTGGCCGTTCCCGAATCCGCCACCTGGGGACACGCCCGATAGATGGCCCAACCCACGGGTTGAGACCGTCATAATTACCCAACAAGATCTGGAAATCTCAGATGTCAACGATATACGTTGAATAAATCTAGGGAAAATTCGTTGGACCTTGACCTATACAACCAACTCACTGTTTTTTCTCCACTTCAGAGTTTCACAGTTTCAATTTTTTCCCACAACTCTGAATTTGATGAATGAACCAAACTGATACTGATACTTTGTCTAATTTCCACTTACTTAATGTATTGATATTAATACGACCAAGGTTTCGGTTTTTACACCATTCTCAAGTATTCTAACAATACTGACTAAGAGAAATATCTGAGTATATATTTCCGAGAGAAGGTAATAAGATATATACCTATTTTTTTTATGTGAGGTTGGACTGAAAGAGTCGAAGGGGATCGTACAATCTGTAAATGTACTCTTTCGATAGATATTAAATTGAAAACCGTTGTTAATTTATAAATATATAGTCTTATGTGAAGACGGAGTCTTTAGAAGACTCAGTCCTCACATAACACATGTAAACGAGGCTTCCCAAGCTTTGACATCAATCGCTAAAAAAGATTCGTTCTCGAAATTTCACTGCAAGGTATCTAGTTGAAAAAAAACGTATTGGTGATTCAATATCAGAGAGCTTTGTTTCGGCCCGTCATAGATATCATCAGTTTGTTTCAACTAAGTATTTCTTGTTGGGTGGGTAGTCACTTCCTTTGAGGAAAACCACAGATGAGCAAATTTGTAACTTTACAGTTGTGTTTCAATAAGGCCTTGAAAATTTACCTATTTTTTTTAAGCATTAAAATTGATCATTGAATTGATAGTTCGTTTTGAAACAAGAATAATAACATGTATTTGGGAGTGAAAACGAGTGCACACCATCAGAAATTTGTAATGCGGCTAAGAAATTGACATCTTTCACTTAATAATAAATTGGGAGTAATCATAAACTCAGATAGCTTCATGTGCAGTAGTTTATTGAATACTGGACTTATGTGCTATTAGTCGTGGGTTCAAACTTCTACAATGGATTTTTAATTTTTTTACATCACTCAATATTCAAACTGTGAAATTGAATTATGTAACATTCAGTTACTGTGTTTGTAACAATATGTATCTCGGATTAAGGGTTAGGAATCGCACGTTAAAAGGTAAGACCTCGTTAGTCTTTAGCTCGCACAAATTTCTCAACTTCTGAGAGTTGTCGTTCGTATGGGGGCGACAGCTGATTAATGGAAAAACGGATATAAAACTGGACTAGTTCCATTCAATAACAGCCTATTTTGCTCTTATAGATCCTCAAATTGGATACCTTATCATATAAGTCTAGAGATCTATTTGAAACGATTTATGGACTACAAAAATAAGGTTGTCAAGACACACTTGCAAAGTGGGATATGTGCAAATCAGTTTCTGTGGTCCTCGGAAATAAAAAAAACATTATTTTTCCTATTAAGGAGCCCAATTGAATTCAAAATAATTAAACTGTTTCATCACCTGTCAGTTGGAATTCATTTCATTTTTTATTTGTCTCGAAAAAATTTTACATTTTACAGACACGTCCAAACCTTAACCCAAATAACTAAAGATAGATGA